TGGGTACAGCACACCAACATGGCACATGTATACATATGTAACAAACCTGCACATTGTGCACATGTACCCTAGAACTTAAAGTATAATAATAATAAAAAAAAGGTTAAACAGTATTTGCTCTCACATTAAGTATCTGAGAAAGAGAACTGCTATTCCAATAATCCCAGAATAGTAATATATGAGAAAGATGGAAAAGTACAACTCAAACTAGCTTGTAAAATAAAACAAATAATCTTATATTTATTAGAAATATTAAATCTATAATATTTAAACTATTTAATTTTTAAAAGTAGAACTTGCTAACAGAATTTACACTATAAAAATAAAAAACAGATCTATTTGAATTGTGTAATATCCTAAAAAGAAACTGCTCTTTCCTTTGTCCTACCTGTCATGATCAATAAAGTGAGTTCTTTGATGGAGTGAAAGAGGTTTGATGTGGTATTGGCGGACCTGACAGGTTTTGGGTTGAATTCTTGGAGTCACATATGCTTGTAGTGTGCCATACTGGCCTTCAATTGAGCGAATCTGATTCAACAGAAAAAAGAAAACAAAATAAGAATATTTAGCAGCAAAACATATCTTTAAAACGTTCAACACAAGTTATCAAGTACTTAAAATTTACTAAGATGTGAAGACCTAATTTAAGAGGAGTTGGAAAGCTGTCTAGCGTCTTTCTCCCGTCCCACTCTGTTCCAATTCATGGGACAGATTGTAGTACCTCTTGTACTACACAAAGGTAACTTCTCTAATCTAATTAATACTTTAACTCATACTTTTCATGGCATGAGGGGGAAAACATCAAAATTTGACCTAAGTGGGAAACATTAAAAAGTTTAAGTAAGATGTTTTGCAAATGTTGCACTGTGAATATTGCTGACAAGGAAGAGGATAAGAAAACATAATAAGTAAAACTACAGAAAGAAAACAAAAAATAGATCTGATAAACCTATATTTTGGTGTTAAGTTTTAAAGAGTAATAAGCTCATATTGGCAGAGATTTTTTTCCACAAGAAAAAGAGCTTTAATATAGAACATAATAATTTTATATGAAAAATTATTTTGTAATAATCAGCATAACAATTAATATTCCTTATTTACAAATTTAAACAATAAAGAAAAATCTGGACAAACATGTAAGTCACCTGAAATCCTCCCACCCCAGATGATCATTATTACTACTTTGGTAGTTATGCTTTCATATGTCTCTCCACGTACAGGTACAAAAAAAGTATTTAGCACATAGCTGTTATTATAAAAATCTATTGACAGAAAAAATGTTTCAAATAACTTAATTATTGACATTCTGTGAAAATAGAGATGCATACCTATAATCTAATTATGGCATATTTGAACTGGAAATTCTTTTGGGCTATTTTGAATATAACTGGCTGGATATCCTGAGAATTCAACATACTTAACAGGAAATAGTAATTCACTGAGCTGGGAAGATCTAATTTAAAAGAAGGATCTAATTTAATGTATCATTTCACATGACTAAGTCTATTGGATATCCTACACATCTTTGCTTTCATTTCTAATGTTCACATTTTCCCCCTTATCTCTGCCTCTCCTATCACCACCACCTTGCTGCTCCTCCCATCCCACTTATGCCTTCCCATATTATATAACTGGCTATATCAGACAGGTGTGTTTCTTTTCATACATTTACTCATATTTATATTAATATAAATAAAAATATATTCAAATTATATAGAGAGATTTTATCCACATTTTGTGTGTTTTATGAAATTCCCTCCATGTTAATCTGTATAAATCAACTCATTCTTTATAGTAGCTGTGTAATATTCCAAGATATGGATAAATAGTTATTTATTCAACCATTCAATCATTAATGAGTATTCACCTTGGTTCTACTTTTCTGCTTCTACAAGCAATGCTGCAATTAATTATATTCATGTCTGTATGTATATTACTGTTATTTTATTGCTATTAATAGATTTCCCCAAAGGAGCTAATATCTATTTTCCAAAGTGGTTGTAACAACTTATATTTCCACGAGCTGTGACTGACAGTGTCATTTTCTTCATCCCCCTCCCCAGTGATGTTGTTCTTTAACTATTAATTTTTTGCCATTCTGCTAGAAAAAAGAAACTGCTTTTTGTTATTTTAATTTGAATTTCTCTGGCTAAAGATGAGGTAGAACGTTTTTGTTTGTTAGCTATTTTGATTCCCTCTTCTGTGTTTTGGGTTGTTTGCTTGTTTGTTTGTTTTTGAGATAGAGTCTCACACCATTGCCCAGGCTGGAGTACAGTGGCACAATCTCAGCTCACTGCAACCTCCATCTCCTGGGTTCAAGCGATTCTCATGCCTCGGCCTCCCAAGTAGCTGGGATTACACACCTGTAACAAAAAACTTTTTTGTTTTTGTTTTTTTTGTAGTAGAGACAGGGTTTCACCATGTTGGCCAGGCTGTTCTTGAACTCCTGACCTCAAGTGATCTGCCCGCCTTGGCCTCCCAAAGTGCTGAAATTACAGGTGTGAGCCACTGTGCCCAATCTTCTCTTCTGTGACTTGCCTGTCCATATCCTTTGCCTATTTTCCTTACTTGGTGGTTTTTATTGTAACAATAGGCTGTTTATACGTTATTGACAATTACTGTTAGACAATTAAGTCTTCTTTCTTTAAATAAGTAGGTACTTAATTCATCTGAATTTATTTTTTATATATGGCATAAGATAACAATTCATTTGATTTTCTTCTAGATGGATGCTAGTTGTGTCAACAGTGATTTTTAAACAGAAATAGTGATTTAATAGAAGTGTTCCCTTCTATTAAAATAGAAATGTCATGCACTAAATTCCCATAAATGTGAAATATATTCTGGGTTCTATTTCTAGATTATTCTGTTGTATGGCCTATATATTTAGGCTTGGATATATCCTCCATTATTTTTATTATGGTAGTTTTATGGTATGTTTTATCATATGGCAAAGCAAGTTACACCTTACTTTTCTTCTTTTTCATAATTTTCTTGGCTCTTTTCAGGCATTTTGTCTTTCTTCTACACTTTAAAATTATTATGTCCAACTAAAAAAAGGGGAACATGGCCGGGTGTGGTGGCTCACACCTGTAATCCCAGTACTTTGGGAGGCCAAGGTGGGTGGATCAACTGAGATCAGGAGTTCGAGACCAACCTGTCCAACGTGGTGAAACCCTGTCTCTACTAAAATACAAAAATTAGCCAGGCATGGTGGCGCACGCCTATAATCCCTGCTACTAGGGATGCTGAGGCATGAAAATCGCTTGTACCAGGGAGGTGGAGGTTGCATCGAGCCAAGATTGCGCCACTGCACTCCAGCCTGGGTGACAGAGCAAGACTCCATCTCAAAAACAAAACAAAACAAAACAACAACAAAAAAAGTGAAACATTGCTTTTAATCAATTTTTACTCAACTTTCAAATTTGTCAGCAGAAACTTGCTCAATGTAAAATGTTTAATTAGGTCACTTACTGATACTTTTTTTTTTTTTTTTTAAGAAATAAATTTATCCTAGTTTTCCATTTTTCTTTCAAAGTACATAAAAAGGAATGTATGCAGACCAAAATGAATTGTTCAGGGGAAACATCATATTTAACTGGAACTTCCTTAACCAGATGTGAAAAAAATATTGTGTAACAGCATCTCTCTTGAAAAATAAAAAAACCTTTGAGTTTCAAAACATCAGCAACACCAGGAAAAAAGTTACAGTCCTTAATTTTTAGATCATACGTCTATCAAAATTAATCCCACTATAAATAACTAAAACAGATTTGTGTGCTATGGTAAGTATTTAATTATAAAAATGATTATGTCAAACTTTAAAAGGTTTTCTCTAGAATGTATGATGATAAATGATATCACTGGAATGCAATCAGCAAAATTCAGGTGGTAGGAAAATATATGACAAATGCTCAGATACTTTAATAACTAAGTTAATTTAGAAGATGACTGTGAGGACCAGCCTGGCCAACATGGTAAAACCCCGTCCCTACGAAACAAACAAAAAAAAGTACAAAAATTAGCCAGGTGTGATGGAAGGCACCTGTAATCCCAGCTACTCAGGAGGCTGAGGCAAGAGAATTGCTTGAACCTGGGAAGCGGAGGATGCAGTGAACCCAGATCATGGCACTGCATTCCAGCCTGGGCGACGAGAGCACAAGAGTGAGACTCCATCTCAAGAAAAAAAAAAAAAGGATGACTGGATTAAACAAGCTGTAAAACAAAAATCAGTAAAATCTGAACATTAAATATTTTATAATATTAAAAAATTGTTGATTTTTCTTAGGTGTGATAATAGTGTAGTTATGTTTAAAAAAAGAGAGAGTACCTATCTTTTAGACACACTAAATGAAATTATGAGTATCTTGTATTTGCTTGAAAATATTTTAGGGTAGTAATGATAGCATAAACAAGGTGGCCATGAGGTGATCACTGCCGAAGCTGTGTGATTAATACATGGGGATTCATTACTTTTATAAATGTTTGAAACTTTCTATAATAAAACATTTGAAAGAAAATTTTCAGTTAGAGGAAACTTTAAGACCAATAATTTTAGGCTGGGCATGGTGGCTCATCCCTGTAATCCCATCACTTTGGGAGGCTGAGGCATATGAACTGCTTGAGCTCAAGAGTTTGAGACCAACCTGGGCAACATGGCAAAACCCAATTTCTATTTAAAAAATAAAAATCAATAATTTTAGAGAAGATGATTAAGAAATAATAGCAGAGATTGTGGTCTGGGCTAAATTATATCCTAACTGGTCATTCAAAATTCATTACTCCAAAACAATTCATTTCAGGGAGAAATTAAATGCAAACAAATAATATCATATGTTATAAGACATACCAGCAGGAAAAAGGAAATTTAAACATTCAAGTAAAGGTAATTTCTAATATTTTTACCTTGAGTTCCAGCCTTGTAGTATTTGCCTGGCACCGATAAGTGGCGAGAAGGAAGTTGTCATTTGACTGGGAAGAATACAAAGTGGAGGAAAAGAATGAATCCATGTTTTTAGCAACAAAAAAAGGGCATCAATAATAATAATGGTTACCATTTACTTAAGTACCTGTCACTGGTGCTAAGTGCTTTTGAAACATGTTCTAACTTATACTTACAAAAACCCTATGCACTAAGTTTTACTAATTAAGCTTTAACAGATGAAGAAACTGAGGTTATGAGGAGTTAAATAACTTCCCCACAGCCATTAAGTGATGAAACTGGAATTCAAATTCCTATCTAAAGCTCATGCTCTTTCCATCTTGAGTTTTTACGATAACATTTTTAAACATTAAGAATTCTTCTAAAAATCTGACAATGCAAACACCAAATGTGATATGGTTTGGCTGTGTCCCCACCCAAATCTCATTTTGAACTGTACTCCCGTAATTCCTATGCGTTATGGGAGGGACCCAGTGGGAGATAATTGAATCATGGGGGCCAGTTTCTCCCATACTGCTCTCACGGTAATGAATAAGAGCTGATGGTTTTATAAGGGGAAATCCCTTTCTCTTGGCTCTCATTCTCTTTTCTCTTGTCTGCCACCATGTGAGATATGCCTTTCACATCCCTCCATGATTGTGAGGCCTCCTCAGCCAGGTGGAACTGAGAGTCCAATAAACCTCTTTCTTTTGTAAATTGTCCAGTTCCTGGTATGTCTTTATCAGCAGTGTAAAAATTGACTAGCACAGTAAACTGGTACTAGTAGAGTGTGGTGCTGCTATAGAGATACCCAAAAATGTGGAAGTGACATTGGAACTGGGTAACAGGCAGGGGCTGGAACAGTTTGGAGCACTCAGAAAAAGACAGGAAAATGTGGGAAAGTGTGAAACTTCCTAGAGACTTATTGAATGGCTGTGTCCAAAATGCTTATAGTGATGTGGACAATGAAATCCAGGCTGAGGTGATCTCAGATGGAGATGAGGAACTTGTTGGGAAATGGAGCAAAGGTGACTCTTACTATGTTTTAGAAAAGAGGCTGGCAGCATTATGCCCCTGCCCTATAGATGTGTGGAACTTTGAAGGGAGATAATTTAGGGTATCTGGCAGAAGAAATTTCTAAGCAGCAAAGCATTCAAGAAGTGACTTGGGTGCTGTTGAAAGCATTCGGTTTTATAAGGGAAGGAGATCATAAAAGTTCAGAAAATTTGTAGCTTAACAATGCAATAGAAAAGAAAATCCCATTTTCTGAGAAATTCAAGTTGGCTGTCGAAATTTGCATAAGTAATGACGAGCCGAACATTAATCATCAAGACAATGGGGAAAATGTATCCAGAGCATGTCAGAGGTCTTCATGGCAGCCCCTCCCACCACAGGCCTGGAGGCCTAGGAGGAAAAAGTGGTTTTGTGGGCTACGCCCAGGATCTCCATGCTGTGTGCAGCCTAGCAACTTGGTGCCCTGTGTCCCAGTCACTATAGCCGTGGCTGAAAGGGGCCAACGCAGAGCCTGGCCTGTGACTTCAGAAGCCTTGAGCCTTGGCAGCTTCCCTGTGTTGTTGAGCCTGTCAGTGCACAATAGTCAAGAATTGGGGTTTGGGAACCTCCGCCTAGATATCAGCAGATGTATGGAAACACCTGAATGTTCAAGCGGAAATTTGCTGCAGGGGCGGGGCTCTCACAGAGGACCTGTCAAGGGCAGTGTGGAAGGAAATGTGGGGTTGGAGCCCCAACACAGAGTTTCTACTGGGGCACTGCCTAATGGAGCTGTGAGAAGAGGGCCATTGTCTTCCAGACCCCAGAATGGTAGATCCACCAACAGCTTGCACTGTGAGCCTGGAAAAGTCACAGACACTCAATGCCAGACTATGAAAGAACCCAGGAGTGGGGAGTACACCGTGCAAAGTCACAGGGGTGGAGCTGCCCAAGGCCATAGGAGCCCACCTCTTGCATCAATGTGACCCAGATGTGAGACATGAAGTCAAAGGATCATTTTGGAGGTTTAAGATTTGACTGCCTTGCTAGATTTTGGACTTGCATGGGGCCTGTAGCCCCTTTATTTTGGCCAATTTCTCCCATTAGGAATGGTTGTATTTACCCAATGCCTGTACCCCCACTGTATCTAGGAAGTAACTAACTTGCTTTTGATTTTACAGGCTCATAGGCAGAAGGGACTTGCCTTGTCCCAGATGAGACTTTGGACTGTGGACTTCTGAGTTAATGCAAAAATGAGTTAAGACTTGGGGGACTTTTGGGAAGGCACGATTGGTTTTGAAATGTGAGGACACGAAATTTGGGAGGTGCAGGGGTGGAATGATATGGTTTGGCTGTGACCCCACCCAAATCTCATCTTGAATTGTACTTCTGTAATTCCCATGTGCTGTGGGAGGGACCCAGTGGGAGAAAACTGAATCATGAGGGTGGTTTCTGCCATACTGTTTTTCATGGTAGTGAATAAGTCTCATGAGGTCTGATGTTTTTATAAACCCCATTCTCTTGGCTCTCATTCTCTCTTGTCTGCCACCATGTGAGATGTGCCTTTCACCTTCTGCCATTATTGTGAGGCCTCCCCAGCCAGGTGGAACTGTGAGTCCAATAAACCTCTTTCTTTTGTAAATTGTCCCATCTTGGATATGTCTTTATCAGCAGTGTGAAAATGGACTAATACAAAATGTTTATACTATAAAGGCACATACATCAGAGTTTGATATTGAATCTCTTGGATTTTTCACAAATACTTACAGAGGAAAGAAAATATCTCTTCTCTCTATTCCCAGCAAATGGCACAGTGCCTGGCACACTGTAAGCACTTAATACATGTTTGTTGAACTAACCTAGAGGAGTTCCTTCAAATATTATAACTTCTTGAAATTGAATATTAAACTACTAGAAATAGAGAAATGTAGCTAGGTTCATGGATTACAAAAACAGACATAGCAACGTAAGATAATTTATATGTTATTTTCGAGACTATTTCTCTATTTTTATTAAATAATCAAAGAAATGAAAAGGATGGTAATATAAAATATAAAACTCAAACATTACAATTTCAAATCATTTAAACTCAACAGAGAGGACCGATCAATTTAAAAGTAAATATATTCTTTTTTTTTTTTTTTTTTGAGACAGAGTCTTGCTGTGTTGCCCAGGCTAGAGTGCAGTGGTGTGATCTCAGCTCAATGCAAACTCTGCCTCCTGAGTTCAATTGACTCTCATACCTCAGCCTCCTGAATAGCTGGGAGTACAGGCGCGTGCCCCCACATCCAGCTACTTGTTTTGTATTTTTAGTAAAGAGGGTGTTTTACCATGTTGGCCAGGCTGATCTTGAACTCCTGGCCTCAGGTGATCCACCTGCCTTGGGCTCCCAAAGTGCTGGGATTACACATACGAGCCACGGTGCCAAGCCGTAAATATATTCTTGTATGATTAAAAACAAACGTTATATACTACAGTGTTTATTGATAAATGATACAGATAACATGTTTGGGATGAGGTTTGGGAGTGGGGAAGGAGAGGGTGAAGAGCATGAGAAAATAAGACTGGGCTGGGCATGGTGGCTCACACCTGTAATCCCAGCACTTTGGGAGGCTGGGAGGTGGAAGGACAGCTTGAAGCTAGGAGTTCAAGACCAGCCTGGGCAACAAAGTGAGGCCTCATCTCTACAAAATGTAAAAAAATAAAAAAAAAATTAGCCGGGGATCATGGCATATGCCTATGGTCCTATGTACTTAGGAGAATGAGACAAGAAGGTAAGTTTGAGCCTAGAAGTTTGAGGCTGCAATGAGCTATGATCACACCACTGCACCTCAGCCTAGGTGACACAGTAAGACCCCCATCTCTGAAAAAAAAAAAAAAAAGACTAACCATATGTTGAAAATTAGTGATGGGTACATGCAAGTTATTATACTAGTCTTTCTACTTTTGTGTATACTTGAAATCTCCATAAGTTTTTTTAAAGCCACTGTCCTAGAAAACATATTTTAAATTAGTATGAAATAGTCATTTCAAAAAATCCTTCAGTGATGTAATTAAAACAGATTAATCTTTCATAGTAACTTAAGAATCAAAGATCTTAAGTTTATGTTAACTTGATTTTCTAAATAATCATAAAAATGTAGGCCATATCTTTTATGTTTTGTTCTCAAACAGGGATGACAAACCATATATTGATAATGTAATACAACTGTTATAAAATCTCTTATTAAAAATAAAATTTTTACTATGAAGTTATATTGAAAAATAGGCTGGGCATGGTGGCTCACACCTGTAATCCCAGCACTTTGGGAGGCCAAGGTGGGTGGATCACCTGAGGTCAGGAGTTCAAGACCAGCCTGACCAACATGGCAAAACCCCATCTCTACTAAAAATACAAAAATTAGCCAGGTGTGGTGGCGTGTGTGTGTAGTCCTGGCTACTTGGGAGTCTTGAGACAGGAGAATTGCTTGAACCTGGGAGGCGGAGGTTGTAGTGAGCTGAGATTGTGCCACTGCACTCCAGACTGGGTGATGGAGTAAGACTCCGTCAAAAAGAAAGAAAGAAAGAAAGAGAGAGAGAGAGAGAGAAAAAAAAAAAAAAAAAAGAAGACAGAAAGAAACAAAAAGAAAGAAAGAAAGAACGAAAAAGAAAGAAAGAAAGAAAAAGAAAGAAAGAATGAAAAAGAAAGAGAAAGAAAGAAAGAAAGAAAGAAAAGTATTCTTATATCTATCAATATTTTACTTTATCTACTCTTTTATTCCTCCTTTTTAAAAAATATATAAGGCCAGACATGGTGGCTCATGCCTATAATCCCAGCACTTTGGCAGGCTGTGGTGGGAGGATCACTTAGGCCCAGGAGTTTGAGACCAGCATGGGCAACATAGGAAGACCCTGTCTCTACAAAAAATTTCAAAATCAGCCAGGCATGGTGGCTTGTGCCTGTAGTCCCAGCTACTTGGAAGGCTGAGGTGGAAGGATCTGCTTGAGCCCAGGAGGTCGAGGCTGCAATGAGCCATGATCACGCCACTGCACTCCAGCCTGCGCAACAGAGTGAGACCATGTCTTAAAAAAAGTAAATAAGTAACAAAAACCAAATAAGTAAAATATATTCTGCAGCAGTGCCAATGCATAAAAATGAAAATAAAATACATATTAATACAACTACCCACCAACTCCAGTTACCATCTCCTCCTGCTCTGGCTTGCCTTCTCCAATGCAATTAATCCAAACCTTATCTATACCTTGACTTTTCTTCAGGAGTCACACGTAGCTCTGAGACTGCTTATCGGCTAGTACTAAGCAGAAAGAAGAGATACAGAAAGCATGTCCAAAAGCACTGACGTGATCTCATCTCAGGTACTGTGCACATGTTAAGTGCTCAATAAAAGTCTGTTGAATGAAGTTTATTACGCATTCAACAAGCCTAGAAAAAGTGGGGCAGGGCAGGAAGAGCGGGGGAAGCAACAGATCATGTTCCAATGCAGGGATGTGTGAAACTATATAGCATTTTCAGGAATTTTAAGAACTTCAGTTTGGCAGAAATAATGTGCATGGGAGGGGTGGTAGCAGCCAGTGAGAGAGAAGTTAGAAATGTAATCAAGAGCTGAATCATGGAAAGTTTTCTATGCCACAATAAGGAATCTATATTTATATCTAGCAGGAAATCAGGAATATTTAAAAGGTTTTGAGAAAAGAAAGATACAGTGATGTTTGTGTTTTAGGAAGGAAGACTTTCTGGTAGTAGTGTACATACAGCATATCCCAGAAGTCAGAGGCAAGACTAGAGGCAGAGAAATGTATAAAGTAGTTCAAGGAAGACATGATACGGGCCTGGACTAAGTTAACAGGGGTAGGAATGAAGCCAAGTAGAAGTATGAAAGCCATGGAGGTAGAACTGACAGAAACTGACTAATTGGGTCTATAGGCTAAACATTCCCAAACTGAGTATCTAAAATGCTCCAAAACCCTAAACTTTTTGAGTGCCAAGATAATACTTTAAGGAAACGCTCACTGGAGCATTTCAGAATTTCAGATTTTCAAATTTGGGGTGCTGAACCAGTAAGTATAAAACAAATATTCCAAAACCTAAAAAAATCCAAAATCCAAAATACTTCTTGGTCCCAAGCATTTCACATAAGGGTTATCAACCTGTAACAGATCACAGGAAGGAAGGAATCTAGGACAACACTAGGTTTCTCGACTGAGGACAGGGAAAGAGAACCGACACAGATTTTGAAGGAGAGGTTACATAAGAAATGACTGAAAAAGAAACATCAAAACCTAACAGCATTTATAGACTTTAATCAAAATGGCATAATAGAAATGAAAGCATGTGAAGAATTCTTTTATATTTTTTACTCACCTCAGAATCACAGCTGCTAAAGCTAACAACAGCAGAATTTTTATCCACATCAAGTAAATCTATTGGAACATCACTCTACAGTCAATATTAAAAAAAAGAAGGTTTAGATGGAAAACCTAAAAATGTTCATAAATTATGTTTTCTCTAAGAGTTCTCCTTAGTTCTAGTTTATATTCATCTTTAAATCTGAGAGTATGAATTCTCTTAATTTATACTTGATAGTATATACTTCTAGAAAATAAATATAATAAAGAATAAATGTTATTTTACAATCACCTGTTTTGTTCTAACTTGGAATATAAAAATCACAGAATATAATCTCTTACCACCCCCTAAGAAGTCCAATTGTCCCACTTATTTTTGTAAAGTACTAAAAATGTTACTATGAGCTATAAATAATCACATGGCCATTCTGATTCATTTTTAGCAGTTTCAATTTCACCTGTAACACAGAAAGAAGATAATTTTTGGTCTCCTCTGGAGAGGCAGTTTCTAGGACAAAGCTGTTGCACTGTGTTCTACGTGAATGGCATTCCCAGAGTTGCTCAATGCAACAACCCATGAGCTAGCATTACTTAAGAGAGTTTTCTGCCTTTAGGTTTTTTAAAATAATCTGATATCTTCATTACGTCTTTTTAAACCTTCTCTTCCTCCAATTTATTATGTTCTCATTTTGTGATTGGTTTACTATCTGTTGCTTGTTTTCTATTTATCCTATTCTTTTCTACTTCCTGAACACCTTCTAATTTAAATAAGTCAGCAAATGTATACATTGATGAATGGAGTCATACATTATTACCCCTAAATTTCACCCTTTAGGATTTTCTACTTTGCCTGTTGACCTGCCAGAAACTATTGGGTTAATGAGCAAGCTGTACTTTTGGGGCTTAAAAAGAAAAAGTTCTAGCAAGGGCGTTAAATATAGTAGTTTTCTAAGTCACATCTTTGTTAAGATTCTCCCAGAGGGTAGCCAAAGAAGAAAAATTTTACTGTCTTTTCTATTTCTTCTTAAAATTTAAGCCCATCTTTGGTTTATTAAGTACATAAATAAAAAGTAAAAATACAATTCAAATAATCTATGAGCAAACAATAGATTAAAAGGCCATAAACATTTAAAATTACTGTCTATGGCTGGGTGGCGTGGTTCACGCTTGCAATCCCAGCACTTTGTGAGGCCGAGGCAGGTGGATCACCTGAGGTCAGGAGTCCAAGACCAGCCTGGCGAACATGGTGAAACCCTGTCTCTACTAAAAATACAAAATTAGCCAGGCGTGGTGGCACATACCTGCAGTCCCAGCTACTCGGGAGGCTGAGAGGCAGGAGAATCACTTGAACCTGGGAGGCGGAGGTTACAGTGAGCTGAGATTGCACCACTGCACTCCAGTCTAGGTGACAGAGTAAGACTCTGTCTCAAAAAAATAAAAATTAAAAAAATAAAAAATTACTGTCTAAAACTAAAAATGTTCAATAATAATTAGTACATATGACTGGTTTGTAAAATAGATCCAGTCATAAAACTAAGAAATTAGACATTTTGCTTACCTGTATTAAGACATTATCTATTGCAGTCTGTACCTCTAAGATAAGGCTGTAACTGGCATCATCTTTATTTAGTGTAAATTTATCATTTATACCAAAGGAAGGTACTGCTGATTTTGCTTTGCTTGATTGAGAAGACTGCTGATAATTCTCTCTTTCCTGCAATACCTTATACTGCAGATGTTCCAACTCATTCCTGGAGAAAAACATACACAAATTTGTCAAATGTAAGTATAAACATTTGAGGTCCTTAGAATGTTTACAAAAATTTGAGACATTTGCTTTTACAAAATGTGTTTTTATTAGTTGAGCTAATAAAATAAAAATAAAGGGAAAAAAATTTTTGCTTCTATGACTGACTAAATGATTCCACATTATTTATCCTTAACCCAAAAATTAAAACACGTACTCAGTCCCATACTAGCAATATTAATAGAGAGTTTTAAATATCATGGTAGGCTACAAAATAATCAATCTTAACACAGGAATCTTAGTACAGTTACATAAAATACTAATCAGAAGAGAAACTTATTATACTAAAGAGAAATTAATATTGCAGAACATACTAGACTTAATGAAAAGAGACAAAATGTGTGAAGCTAGTAAACATGTAATTTTAAGTAAGACACTAGGGAAGACATAAAAAATAAAAAGGAAGCTGCAGAATATTAGCGTTTTGGGGACCACAAGGATGATCATGAGCCAGTGGTACAGCTTAACTACCAAGTGTTGGAGAGGATTCTGCTGAGACTGAACTACACAGGCATTGCTTAGAGCTCCAGTTAAGGGGAAGGTCCACATGCAAATGGAGTGAACAGTCATTGGGATAGAGAAACATGAGGCTTAACTAGCCACAATTTAGGAGGAAAAGTCTAGGGAGGAGCTTGGAAGGGATTTGTGTGATGAACAAAGGAAAAGATTCATTCATTAAAGAATATTTACTGCTAAATATTACAGATTTACTCCTATGTACCTAGCAGTGTTTGGGTATCAAATGAACAAATCAGACATGAGCTTCTCGTAAAGCTTACATTCCAGTGTGGAATCAAGAAATGGTAGACTTGGTTATAAATAAAAGGTACTATATTGAGGATGTGAGAGAGTACTCATTAACTATACTTGTATCCTTGTTGCATGAAGTAGGATATCCTGAATGAATCTGGCATACTTGTTTACATGAACATTACAGCTTGCTCTCTGGTGGCTTTGGTGAAATGGCTTGTACTACTAGTATTTGTGGCATTTGCTGCCTTAAAAGTCTCTGTAGCCTTCAACTACCACCAAAAAAAGATCATCCTTCACTCCACAAAAGGTCAGCATGGGTTGAAATGGGGAGAGCAGTCATTAAAAGTTTCAGCAACTCCTACTTCTTTATTGTATGAAGCATCTTTATTTGAGTTTGAGGTCCCCATTTTCATAGCACACGTCAAATTGAGCATACCATAAAAGCAATTCTTGTGTCTAGGGGAGTCAACATTACTCAGTTCCAGTTAAGAAAATTTATAAGCCAACATTACAGATTCAGAAGGGTCCACAGGAAGAGTAAATGTTAGAGTTAATGAGAAATAATACAGCCATCTGTGTTGATTTATTTCTAATGTCTGTAAAAATCAAAAAATAAAACACTACAAGTGTCTATGATGTAAAAAAAAAAAAAAAAAAAAAAAATGAAAAATACAACTCTTGACCTAAGAAAAAGTCAATTCAGAATAAGGCATACAAAAAGTATATTTCTATCTCCAAAATATTAATCAGCACTTACTGCTAATTTTCTCAAAACTGTAAACTTTCATTTTAAAAGGTGATTAATTAATTATATAATTCCTTCCAATAAAATATACTCCATCTATAAGTAATAAAAAGCAACAACCACACACTTCATGAGATTTTTAAAAAAGCAAATAAAAAACTCAAAGTTACCGTAAGGAAGAAATTTTATTCTGCATCTCCTGATTAAATTTTAGTTCTTCTCCTGGTCCACTTTCCTTATGAATGGGCTCTGTTGTCAGACCTGTAACCCAGCCTGTAGAGATGAATTACAGTCACGCACCACTTAGTACTGCTGGTGTTAAAAAAGATAAATTATGCATTGTGTAGCAGAAACTCCAATGTACATGCCCCTTTGTCCACCAATATCAGCCTGTCTTAACCCTAGGACTTCATTCAAAAACAAAACACAAAATCAAGCTGGAAAATATTCAGACTATAGAGAAATTACTTAAGCATTTCACGATATCTTTTTTTTTTTTTTTTTTTTTTGCCTGAAATACCATAATACTATAATGAAGGGAATCTTTTACTTCTTAACAGATTTAAAATATGGAGTAAGTCAACATAGTCTAGCAATTTCAAAAATAGCTGAAAAATAAGAATTGCCTTTTAAAAATTACTTTCATGGAAATTTAAACTCTCACATGACGACTATGAGGATGCAAAAATTACCAATTCAAAACAAGTTTTGGCAAGTTTTTGAGACCCTGTCTCAAAATAAAAGTTTTTTTATCAGACACATACATAGCCCAAAACATAAAATAAATCTCAATAAGTACTTCTCTTTAAATCAAATAAGATAATTTAATAAAGGTAAGAGTGACATGCTAAACACTCTTAAAAAGTATTATTCAAATATCAACTATTTTATAAATCAAGAAGCCTATACTTTCTCCTTATTTTTTAACCAAGAAAGTTTTTAATGCTATAAGTAAGAGTGATTGATTAACACAGCAGCCTCCCCTTATCCACGATTCCACTTTCTGCATTTAAGTAACCCATAGTCAATGGTAGGCTGAACATATTAAATGGAAAATTCCAGAAATAAGTCCTAAGTTTTAAATTGTACAACATTCTGAATAGGGCGATAAAATCTCATGCCATCCTGCTCCATTCTGCCCAGGATGTAAATCATCCCTTTATCCAACATATCACCTGCTGTATATGATACCTGCTACCAGCCTATCTATTGTTCGCTTAGAAGCCAAACCAGTTATCAGATCAACTGTTGCCGTATCATAGTGCTTGGGTTCAAGTAACCTTACTTTATTTAATAAGGGCCCCAAAGCGCGAGAGTAGTGATGTTAAGCATATTGTTATAATTGCTCTATTTTATTATTCATTATTGTTAATCTTGTACTATGCCTAATTTGTAAGTTAAACTTTATCACAGGCATGTAGGTATAAGAAAAAAATATACACAGGGTTCAGCACTATCTGAGGTTTGAGGCTTCCACTAGGGGTCTTGGAACAGATTCCCTATGAATAAGGGGGGACTACTATAACTCTTTTTAAAAAAGAGACATCAAAAGCAGTTTAAGTTTAGATTTTTTTGTTGCTGACTCTTTCTTCAATTACCTATTATCATTTACTTTACCTGAATATGTGGACACCACGATTTCATCATAGCTGTCTTTTCCTACACAACCACCCTGGATAGATGTGACACTTTCAGACATCATCTAAGGAAGTTTAAGACCAAGCACTTCATTAGTAACTAAAAAATTCAGACATGTTAAAAATAAGCTACACAATGTTTTCCCTGGCTCCAGACATTCAACATATATTTACTGAATGCTTATGTGCAGACACTCAGATTAGAAAGACAAAATATCTTGAACAAATGGCAGGAAACTTCAGTGTTTTTAAATTTGGGAAAGAAGATTCAAAACGATCCTAGTATATTTGTGGGTACCACTCAACTAACGATATACTCATCTAATGAGCTAAAATAGTTTATTTATTTATTTAGAGACAATGTCTCCCTCCGTCACCCAGGCTGGAGTGCAGTGGTGCAATCACAGCTCACTGCAGCCTTGACTTTCTGGGCTCAAACGATCCTCCTGCCTTAGGCCCCAGAGTAGCTGGGACTAGAGGTGCGTGCCACAACGCTGGGCTAATTTTTCTATTTTTTATAGAGATGGGGCTTCGCCATATTTCCCAGGCTGGTCTTCAAATCGTGGGCTCAAGCAATCTGCCACCTTGGCCTCCCAAACTGCTAGGATTATAGGCGTGAACCATAGCTCCCGGCCAGTTTATTTTCATAAAGAAAGGTTTTTTTAAAACTTACATAAGCAAGGTTGGGCGCGATGGCTGACGCCTGTAATCCCAGCACTTTGGGAGGCCGAAGTGGGCGGATCACGAGGTCAAGAGACCGAGACCATCCTGTCCAACATGGTGAAACCCCATCTCTACTAAAAATACAAAAAAATTAGGTGGGCGTGGTGGTGCGTGCCTGTAGTCCCAGCTACTTGGGAGGCTGAGGCAGGAGAATCGCTTCAACCCCGAAGGCGGAGGTTGCAGTGAGCCGAGATCATGCCACTGCACTCCAGTCTTGCTACAGAGCGAGGCTCTGTCTGGGGAAAAAAAAAAAAAAATTACATAAGCAAAAAGCAAAATACCCTGTAAGTTTAGTCGATTATCTGAATTCCATGCACCATCTCTTATGTGTATTCTCAAAATAGTTTTTTAGATAAATAAAGAAGATGGTAACCTATATGGAATCTTTAGGAAAACTGCTATTGTGGAGAGAAATCAAGTTTTTTCAGATGACTCAGTGTTTATAATAACCATCTTTTAAGCAAGACTTCCCAAACTTTTTTGACAACCACTTAGGTAACTCAACTAGGAATCTGTATTTTTTTTTTCTTTCTTTCTTTCTTTTAAAATAATGCAGGGAGCTGGTTTTTTGTTTTTGTTTGTTTTTTTAGACAGGACATTGATCTGTTGCCCAGGCTGTAATGCAGTGCATGATCACGGCTCACTGCAGCCTCAACCTCCCAGGTTCAAGTGACCCTCCCAATTTGGCCTTCCAAGTACCTGGGACTACAGGTGTACACCACCATACCTAGCTGATTTTTAATTTTTTTTTTTTGCAGAAATGGGGTCTCCCTATGTTGCCCAGGCTAGTGTTGAACTTCTGGGCTCAAGCAAACCTCCCACCTTGGCCTCCCAAAGTGCTGGGATTACAGGTATAAGCCACTGTGCCTGGCCAGAAACTCTGTTTTTAACAAACACTCTAGGTCGGTGGCTTTCAAGCTATTTGGAAAGCAAGCAATAAATTTTATATTACAATCTGGTATACATTCACACATAAACATATAAAGCAATGTATCTAACTTAAAAGATTTGTGTCATACTCTGATATGTTCTAATCTATTCTGTTTTTTAAAAACTGCACTGGCAACACACTAATTGGTTTTGACTAGCAGTTTGAAAAACTCTGGTATGTAATTCTTAGCAGGCAAGACTGAGTACCTTTGTTTTAAAGGAGGGAGTGGAAGGAAGGGACACTAGCACTAAACCAGACAATCAACAAAACACTAGTTCTCTTCACCTACCCTATAGGGGGCAAACCTCTGAGCTATCCTGCAAATTAGGATGTGATAGTTGTTCCTGAGGCTAATTACCTGAGAAATTCAAGTAACAAAGGTTTGATTATAAATCACATAAAGTTAGATTTACAGGTGGGGTCAAATATCTGCATTTTTAAGTGTCCAGTTGATGTGTATAATAAAAGTTTTCAAAAAATTGTTTTTTATTGATCTGACAACTTGATTAGATCTTCCTTTAATTTACTGAACACAAAACACTGGAAATCACCTGACTTGCAGAATAATGTTTTACTCAACCAATAGAAACACGCACACTCTCACTTTCTGAGTGGTTTATCAGGGAACTATTAATTACAACTTTAAAGAGTATTTTAATGCAATATACTTGGAAAACATTTTTAAAACTATTCATTTCCTTTTTTAACTGTTCATTTCTATATAATTTTTTGCTAATAGAACATTTTAATGAAATTCATTTATCTTATGTACTTATATAAAAAAATTGGGGCTACTCTGCACACTGGCTATGGGGTAGCCTTGTTCTGCAAGGAGCAGGAAAAGAAAAACAAAGGAAAAAGGAAGGAAGGAGGGAAGGAAGGGAGGGAGGGAGGGAAGGAGGAAGGAAGGAAGGAAGGAAGGAAGGAAGGAAGGAAGGAAGGAAGGAAGGAAGGAAGGAAGGAAGGAAGGAAGGAAGGATCCTATAACCATAAAATCAGAGATCCTGGGCAATATACTATGGATAAGTTTTATGTAAGAAAACATGGAACTAAACTTACAAAAAAAAGACCTTGGTCCTTCCTCAAAATATTGGCAAATGAGTATATAAGTTTAAGTTAAAATGCAATGTTCAAGGTATACATATTTTCTCTTTTTATGATTTACCCCTTAACTATCTTTTTTGATTAATCAACCATCTACCAGTCCAGACTGTGTCAGACAGTAGGTCTCCTCCTGATTATAAAAGCAACATAGTAAGTGATGATGTGAATCCAAGATGACGCAGAGTACTCCCAACCTAAGCATAACCTGAAAGCAGGACCTCTGTCATTAGACAGAAGAAATAAGAGGAAGATAGGATTTCTTAGTGCCAGACCTGGCAGAACAGGTAAATGCTATGACATTTCTGGGGTTTAGAATAAAAGTCAAAGAGGAGACTTGGGGTCCGAATAGGAAAGTTTCTCAAAGGGCTGATGAGAAAAAGCAGGAGATCATCAACAATGGATTATTATTTCTAAGCCTAGACTATTACTTGCCTCATTAGCAGGATGACTTTTTACACCAAAACAAGATGAACAAATTTGAAACCAATCTAAAAAATAACCTCAACTGTGTAACATTTTTATCCCTATATTTTCTAAATGACATATTTTACCTGTGCTTCAAACCACTTGTATTTTCTGAACTGCAGTTAAAGTTAGGATTGGGAGATACCACTAGTAGAGAAATTAGACCAAAAAAAAAAAAAAAAGTTGACACTTGAGTTGTGAACTCTTTTATTTCCTTTAAGTTTAATAGCCTCAGTATGTCCTATATGAGGCAGGATAGGGAAGCCCGGGATTGGAGAACACTAGTTCATGAAAAGGAAAGATTCAATTTATGCCAGAATGCTTCTCTATGTAACTTTATAGCTTGGCATAAATCAGCTTAATTACATTTAAAATATGTGAACTAAAATTACTTTTATCTAGTATTTCTTCTTATACAGGCAGCCCTTGAGTGGGTAGAGTGAAACTGCTACTTTTTTCCTTTTGCTTAAGGTTATTTCTGATACTGTCCTAACAATATGAAGTTTATTCCTAAAATCTTATTATTTTAAAACAACAGACTCATTTATATTAACCAAACATATAAATATTACTCCTATAAAGTGTCATTATATGTTATAAACAAAGGCAAAATATTTAATACTTTAGATACTTATAATAATATTTTAAAGTATAATGAAAAAGTAATTTATTATCCTGCTTAAAGGCAAGAGTCTATTATTCAAACATAAGAGAAGTCTGGAGAAGATTCTGATAACATCAAAATAGCAATATTTTAAACCAAACACAAGATTTTAATATATTTTCACTTAATAAAATTCAAACCATCTGTCATCTCTATAATAATTTGACAAATAATAAGCATATATAGTCTTTTTTAATGAACTTACCTGATCAAATCGTAGAACAGGTTCATTTGCATTATCAAAACTATACACTTCCACCATTCCGTCATCTCTCCCAACAAGTAAATCTTTAACCCCATCACCCACAATGTCAAAGCTGTCAATACACAAAATACCTTTAAAAAGAGATATGTGATAAGTTATTAAGAAGACTAATAGTTATCGTCAAGTATATGCCAAGTAAGAATGAAAATAACACATATTCCGACTCAGAATGCTGAGTAAAAATCTTTGAGCAAAATCAAGTGCTCTTCTCTTGTCCATCCACATTCATCTATTTCCAGGTCTTTAAATATAATCTGTGTGAGAACGGCCCCTACATTTATATCTCCCTCCAGCTCTGGCCAAAGCTCCAGACTGATATATTCAATTTGGTATCTTCTCACAGACATCTGCATCTTAAACTTTCCATACCCCAAACAAAACTCTTTATTCCCCTTTTTACCATACCCCCTCAATACTGCTCCTCCCCCTGTCTTCCCCCATCTCCATAAATTATTCTACCTAGCTGCTTAGACAAAAATTCTGGGCTACATCTCTGATTTCTTTTTTTCTCACCACCCCTCATATCAAAACCACTAGCAAATTCCATCTTCTCTACCTCCACAATACATACTGAAATTGTCTCCTTTAGGTTTCCAGCTACTGATAGCCTAGACTAAGCTAGCCTAGACTAGAATAAATTATAATAACTCTTCCAGCTGGTCTCCATGCTTCCAATTTTGACCTGCTTCCTCCCGCCCCCTCCAATCCATTCTCCAAACAGTGTCCTTTGTTTTGTTTAGGCTTAGTAAATTAAATGTCACACTCCCACTGAAAATTTTCTGATGACTTCCTACAGCACCTAGATTAAAATTCAAACTGTTTTCCAAGGCTTACAGAGTTTGGCTCTACTCTACCTCTCTGACTCCATCTCCTGCCATGTTAATGCATTTAGCCAAACTGACCTTTCTACTGTTCCTCAAATGAATCAAACCTACCTCCACCTCAAATCTTTCGCACTTACTTCCTCCTCTTCCTGAAACATTTTTTTCCCCGCAAATCTGCATATTGCTAACTCTTTTTCTTATCAGTTGAATCTCATTTCAAATTTCACCTCTTCTAAGAGGCTATCTTTGACTACCTGGTCTAAAAGTGACCCTCCTCCTTCTATCATCACTCTCCAATACACTGTCCTGTTTTATTTTCTTCAGGTGACTAGGTAAAGCTGTCTTATGTATTTATTTGTTTTTACTCTGTCTCTCCTAATAAGTATTTGTTGAAGGAATAAATGAATATATGAACATCCTGAACATATACATAGGCATCTCACTATCTACCAAATCAGTTATAAATTCTCCTTAGAAAGTTATAAATTCCTTAGAAAACAGGAATATTCTCTGACCCACTGCACTTCTTCTTTGCTTCATAACAAAGACTCCTAGATTCCAATTAATTCTGTACCTCAGACAACTAAGTTACCTCAGACAACTAAAATCCAATTAAAACTGGATTTTAGCATAAAATGATATTAGCCTGTAAAAACGCATCAATACCAAATTACTATAAGCATTTCTTACTTTAAAAGAATTATGCCAATAGTATAACAGACCTGACAAATAAACAAATAGTAGATAAATCAAGGTGTGAATTGCTAAGTCTGCTATGTAGTATAAATAAAATAGAATAAATTATATAATTTAAGATACTTAATAATCATTGACACCTCAGAATCTGAACTACATGAAAAGCATACCTCCCCTCTTTTTCTCATTTCGAATTTCCCACTTGTGTATTGGTTTGGATGTAGTAATCTGAATAAGCCCAAGTTTTCCATCTGATGTCCCAAACAAAAGGTCTTCTCCAGAGTCACCTAGTTATAATTAAAGTCAACATATTATATTTCTCCTACAATTAGTAATCTCTTTAAAATTAAAATATTGTTATGTAAAAATCTCATTTAAAAAATATTATAAAAAGACATAAAACTTAATTTTTGAGAATGGTTATTATATATTCACTCAATTTTATAGTTATAAGAGATAAGACATTTCCCCATTATCTAATTTTAAGATGAAGAAACTAGGTTGGGTGCCATGGCTCATGCCTGTAATCCCAGAACTTTGGGAGGCTAAGGTGAGAGGATCATTTGAGCTCAGGAGTTCCAGACTAACCTGAGCAACATGGCAAAACCCTGTCTCTAAAAAATGCCAAAAAGCTAGCCGGGCATGGTGATGTGTGCCTGTAGTACTAGGGAGGCTGAGGTGGGAGGATCCCTTGAGCCTGGGAGGTCGAGGCTGTGGTAAGCTGAGATTGTACCACTGTACTCCAGCCTGGGAGACAGAGTGAGAGCCTGCCCCCCAGGCCCCCAAAAACAAAAAAAAATGGAGAATTAAAAGTTCAATAACTTGTGCTGTTAGTTACTGGCAAAATCCCAGAAAGACAACTGTCTCATTTCTAGTTTATGTCCTTTCTACAATTTCCCATTTTCACTTAATATTAAAACACATAGTTGATTTGTGAAAAATAAAATCTTGATTACCGCCATTTCCATTGTGTAGTGCTAAGACAGTAGGGGGGCCAGGAACTTCAATTTCATACATCACATCAGATCCCTGAAGGAAAAGAAGTATTTAAAAACTGAAACAGAATACAGACTGAAAATAATAGAGGCATTCATGAATAACATCAATATTCAAATATAGTACTCTTAGTAACACCTAGAATAAAATTGCTTTAAAAATTAGGTTATGAATACAACTTGCATTTGTTAGCAATTTTGCATATATCAACTGATTTGAACACATATATATACACACACGTATATATACACACACATATATATATACACACAGGTATATATATACACACGTATATATATATACACGTATATACACACACACACACACACATATATATATAGTGTAAAAGACCATGGAGAAAACATTTAAAATATTGTCTACCCTTAATATATTTCAAATACGTTGTTTGCCTGAAAACTTGACACTGGTAGATTTTCCTATCAAGTCTCTAGGAACAAATTATTCCCTGTCCTCTCTAGGTGAACTGGAGAGCTTTAACTTGGAATACATCCAAATATTTTAATAGACACAAAGTTACTTCCTAAGGAAAATGTTGGCCTTGCCTTTGGGTATTCCCAAAATCTGCTCCAGTTAGAGGCAGAATGACCTGCTACTTAGATAAAAAAAAACAAGTTAGGTCCTTTTATATTTCTCAGTTTTTCAATTTTGCTACTTGTAATGCTTGTCATTTGGGGCGCAGTATTTGTGATGCTGTTAAAGAATGATTTAGAAGAACTTATACTCACATGGAAAAAATATCCATGATCTAGAATTGAAAGAAAACACAATTTGCAAAATGGGCCGGGCGTGGTGGCTCACACCTGTAATCCCAGCACTTTGGGAGGCTGAGGCTGGTGGATCATCAGGTCAGGAGTTCGAGACCAGCCTGACCAACATGGTGAAACCCTGTCTCTACTAAAAATACAAAAAAATTAGCCAGGCATGGCGGTGCGTGCCTGTAATCCCAGCTACTCAGGAGGCTGAGGGAGGAGAATTGCTTGAACCCAGGAGGCAGAGGTTGCAGTGAGCTGAGATTGCGCCACTACTCTAGCCTGGGTGACAGAGCAAAAAAAAAAAAAAAAAAAGAAAAGAAAAGAAAACACAATTTGCAAAATTATAGTAAATATGGTATGACATTTTTGTTTTAATTTTTTTTTTTTTTTTGAGATGGAGTCTCACTCTGTTGCCCAGGCTGAAATGCAATGGTGTGATCTCAGCTCGTTGCAACCTCCACCTTCCGGGTTCAAGTGATTCTCCTGTCTCAGTTGCCCGAGTAGCTGGATTACAGGTGCAGGCCACCATGCCTGGCTAAGTTTTGTATTTTTAGTAGAGACAAAGTTTTGCCATGTTGGCCATGTTGGTCTTGAACTCCTGACCTCAGGTGATCCATCTGCCTCAGCCTCCCACAGTGCTGGGATTACAGGCGTGAGCCACCACACCGGGCCTAAAAAAGTTTAATGTTTATTTAGAAAACATAAGAAAGCCATATACTTTATCTTTTTTTTTTTTTTTTTTTTTTTGAGCCAGGATCTGGTTCTGTCATCCAGGCTGGAGTGCAGTGCAGTGGTGTGATCATAGCTCACTGCAGCCTTGACCTCCCAGGCTCAAGTGATGTTCCCACCTCCGCCTCCTGAGTAGCTGGGACTACTGGCATGCACCACCATGCCCAGCTAAACTTTTTTTTTAAGAGATAGGGGTCTCACTATGTTGCCCAGGCTGGTCTTGAATTTCTGGACTCAAGTGATCTTCCAACCTTGGCCTCCCAAAGTGTTGGGGTAATAGGCCTGAGCCACTGTGCCCAGCCCGCTTTATCTTTTATTTAAAATATCATTTTAAAATTTACAGTTTTCTACACGTAACTATATAAACACAAAAGAATATACACAAAACTGTTTAAAAAAGGCAACCTCTGGAGTAATGGATTATTCATAGAGATAGATGGGGAGTGAGAAAAAAGTATACAGTGCAGAGGGAAAGATTTCAACTTTATTTTCTACAGATCTTTAGTAATTTTTTTAAAAAGTAATAAGCATATGGCTCTCTTGTCAAACAAAGCAGAATCCTAGAATTCAGTCAATTTCTAATTGAATGCTAAACAGTTCCTGTTAAAAGCCTTGTTCAAAATAATTCATATTTAAAAGCACAGGCTATGGGGGAAATTAATCATTCATAACTCTAAAATGAACCTTTCTTCTTTTCCTTTTTTTTATTTTTATTTTTTTGAGATGGAGTCTCCCTCTGTTGCCCAGGCTGGAATGCAGTGGCGCAATTTCAGCTCACTGCATGACCTCTGCCTCCTGGGTTCGAGTGCTCTCATGCTTCAGCCTCCTTCCTTCTGAGTAACTGGAATTACAGGGGTGTGCTACTGCAACCGGCTAATTTTGTATCTTTAGTAGAGACGGGGTTTCACCATGTTGGCCAGGCTGGTCTCAAACTCCTGGCCTCAAATGATCTTCCTGTCTCAGCCTCCCAAAGTGCTGGGATTACAGGTTTGAGCCACGATGCCAAGCCTAAAATGAACCTTTAACATGACTTTGTCCCTGGGGGGTAAAAACCTCATAGACTCACTGGATCTTTCCTTCTACAAAAGCGCTGATGCCAAGAAATGGCCATCTGTCTATGGAATTCCAAAGAGTAAGATAGCCTGTGCTGGCATGGACTTAACAGCTAAACTTTTTCATCAACTGCGCCAACTATTACCAGCCTGTTTCTGATCCAGTTGATCTACCTGTTATATGCTATTTACATTTAAATATTATTTTAAGCATCCTATAGTGTGTGTGTGTGTGTGTGTATGTGTGTGCATGCATTTTATTGAAAGCCACTCTCAAGAAGATATAGTGGTAACTATTATTACTCATAACAATGACCTGAAGCCGTTGTTTTAGTCAATCGTGGTTTTTACCAGAAATATAAGGACATCAAAACGATTTTTCCCTCTATCACTCATTTACTTATCCAACAAATATTTACTGAGTGCTTATTTCATATACTGCCATAAATGCTGGATAAATTCAAGTTATATAAAACCCTCCCCGCAGCCCAATTTCTTCCTTTAATTTGATTTTTTGGGGAAGAGAAAGGTGATGGAAGAAGAAAACAAAACAAAGAGGCAGGCAAAGGTTATCTGTAGTCAAAGTACTCCATTCTGATAATAGCTCAGAAATTGTGGATGGTGAGGCAAAAAATATCCCTTTTCTCCCAAATATGCTTCTCTAAAAACTTACAAAAGAACACATTTGACTCAAGTTAAAAAATTAATGTGTCAAATTATTTAAAAATTGTTTCCATATATTTATATAAGCACTTAAAACAGTAACCACTATAGTTATTTATCTCAAGTACATAATGTTCATCAATATTCTCTCACATAAATTATAAAAAATTAGAAAAATACAAATAACAGCAACCTGTAAAACTCTGAGCACTCTGTCCTGGCAGGCCAATACAGGTGTGATACGAGATAATCTTTCCACTGGAAGGCAGATAACATCATTGATTTTATCCCCAGAAAGGTAATAATGTTGGTCTTTGCAGTCACAATAATGGTTATAGATGTAACTTGCACTGAGAAAGAGGTCTGAGCCAGATATGTGCCTGAGAACATTAAAATAGTAATTTTTAAAAATAAGCACAGGTACTGAATTTTTTTCAGAGATAAAAACAGAACAATTTATAGTTTACTAACATTTTATTATAGACTTAGAGAACACAGTTTTTAAAACTTTCTCCTACTTAATTTCTAGTCTTTTTGGTATAACACTGTTTTTGATTTTGAAAGCTGAAAATGAGGATGTTAAGGCCTCAGCCTTCCCAATAAAACTGAGCTCAGAAAAATGGAAAACAAAGACAAGATAATGATAATTTAACTGTCTATATCCAAAGGCAATTAATACGTCAAAAAATGACTTCTTTGTGTACTACGTGCCAAGCACTATCTTAAGTGATTTTTATGTATTAGATCAATTAATCATCATAACTCTATAAAATAGGGACCATTATTATTCCTTTTTACAGGTGAATAATAAAATGTTAAATAACTTGCCTAATGGCACCTAATTATTAAGTAGTAGATTAGACTGCAACTCAGTTTTTTGCTCTAGAGTTAGCTTTCTTACCAGCACACTAATTTGCCTGAAAAAAATCTATTTTAAGTGACTCTACCTCAAACTAAATGATAAACAGCAGAAAAAAAATGATTTCATTAGAACTTTATCTTGAAAAGAGAAATGAAAACAAGTTCATTTCAAATTACACTTAACAAAATTTAGTCAATAGTCATAACTATGTTCTAATTCTTAGACTGAATCAAGTTTTCACTTGGGTGAGCTAAAATGGCTTGACAAAAATTTATATGTAAGTGTGATATATTTTTCACTTCTAGATTGTTATTACCATATTTATCATAAAGAGGATAATTTTATTTGAATGTTTCATGTATTCCTCTACCTCCAAGTTCTATTTAAAATTTTTTACATTAAAATTATTATCTAAAGAGCTTATCCTATAATAATCCTCCCTGATTTTCTCTTCTTCGGTTATTAAGTGGCTTCACTTTGTGGCTCTGCATATCATTGAATAGTCCTCTTACTATTTTTATCAACTTCATGAAATTCTGGTTTTCAAAATTTTAAATTCCATTTTGAAACCAATCTGTATTATATTTGCATTATATTGGCCAAAGTACTATTTAGCAATCACTATTGCTGACATGAGTGGGGATACATGGCAGCATTAAGCAGGAAAGGATGTGTAGTGACTAATGTTAAGTGGTCAGTTTCCTTCCTGAGTATCTTCAAGTTATAACTTTTGTTTTCCTATAAAACCTTACAAATGTGGGGATTCAGACAATCAGTTTTCAAAACTTGAGTAAAGAACTTTTCTATCCCATCTTTGCCACTCTAGTAAAAACATTTAAGAAACCATTTAAAGAGACTATTACTGAGAAACTCCGTATCTTTCTCACACTACTATCCATATACCTGTCCGAATGTAGTTATGCTATTAACACATTACTTTTAGTATTTCACAATTATCATTGGCCATGTCTATATACAAGTGTATTTCAAAAGTGTTACTATTCTTGTTAAACCATTTGAAATTACATATTTCCACTTACCATTGTTTGTTATCTAATTTCACCAAGCCAACATTTTACATCTCAAACATCAGGAGATATGCTGTGCATTATACAAAACTCTGGGCTGAATCAGTTGTTTCTAGCCTAAGAGTCTGACTAATTATATAACTTGGCTGCACTAGATTCAAAGGAAGAACTTAAAAAATAAAAACAAAACCTACTCTGGGTTATTCTGATTCAGTAGGTATGAGGTGGGACAAGGAATTAAGTGTCCCAAGGGATTCTTCTAAGTAGCAAATTTAAGAAACAGTGAATTAGATGAATTTTAAAGCCCTTTTCAGCTCCCTGTGATTCAAAAGCTAAAATCTGAATTGCAAAATTTCACATCAGGAAGCCATTTAGGGAGCTATATTTCACGTAGAGTCTTACCTGATATACCTGAAATTATACCCTATTGGTAATCACTAACTTTGACAGTCAGCCTTTTAACATAGTGATGCTACCTGAAAACCAGAACTAGCAAAAAGAGCCAAGGAACATAAAGCTAAATATCTAGAGATTTATTTTCCATTTTTTCCCATACCTTGATAATGAATCAAAACTGAACCAAGTAGTCAAAAATGATTGTATAAATACTATGAAGTTCTTTAAAACAAAATTTCAACAACCAATTTCATATTGATTGTAGGTCAAATTTAGTTTCTGACTAATAAAATACCTTTAGTTAATTTTATTTTCCAGAACGCCTATTAAGATATGATACTTAATCAGTTGCCTTACATCTATCCAAAATATTATAAATAAGTATGTAAAAATACAAAAAGGAACAATAGACATACATAGCTTTAATGCTTTCAGTGAGGTTTGTTTCAAAAGAGAGGAACTGTTTTCCTCTTTTTGTGAAGGCTCTAATCTCAGATGCTGCAGCAATAAAAATTTTCTCCTGAGGTGTGTTAAGAACCCCTCCTAGTTCCAGTCTTGCAATCTTCGGCCCCGGTAAAGTCTTGAACACTGCCTGAAAAAAATCATTCATGAAAATAGTACATAAATTACTTTATTGTGAGCATTTTTTCCTTTACAATACAAAATGTTAAGATGTTAAATTTGCAAAATATTACAGTTCCACTATATAGAAATAATTTTAGATAATAATCTGTATACTTTAGTAGCTCTTCAGGTTTTTTGCTGTACTCAACTTTTAAATATATATTCCCACACATATTTGCATGTCATTGAAATCTAAATCCTTGCAATTCAAAGTACAGTTCACTAAGCAGCAATGTTAGCATCACTAAATTGATTTAAAATGCAGATCAAATGAATGAGAATCTGTATTTTAACAAGATTCCCCAGCAAGTTCCTAAGCATATTGAAGTTTTAGAGGCACTGGCTTAAACAATACTCCTATGAACAGGGAAGTCCATTTGGCAAATTATTTAATGAGGTCCAATGAACATGTTTTTACACTTCAATCATCTTTTAAAACTAATCTTTCCTGGTTTCTTTACAATTTTTATAAATTTTAATAGTAAAGGACTATAGAATTTACTGAAAATGTGAATGTATGACTTAATACCTATAATCATATATCTATTTAACTGAAAACAATATTCATTGCATTAATTTTTTCATGGTTATTTTCCATTTTATTATTTGCACCAGCTTTTTCTCCTCCACTTCCTCCCCATGACTTTATATACAGAGAATAAGATATCTGGGAGAATATGAATAATGGAAACACTGAGTTTCTGGTAGTTTTTATTCTCTTCATCTCTTGGAAATTCCATATAGTATATAATGAATACCAGAATCCACATCTCAGACTCATCATTCTAAATTTCTAATTATGACCTGTAAATATGATAATGTAACAGTAATAACTTCCTTGATTAGGTTAAATTAAGTGGCAAAGGTTGTAGGTTAGTTGCTTCCATGATTACATTATGCTACATAAGATTCTTTCTTAGCAGACTAGAGAAATTTCCTGCTGGCTTTGAAGAATTAGATTACCATGTTGTGAGAAGGACTGTGAGAGGACCACACAGCAAGAAATTGTAGAGACCTCAAAGAACTGAGAGCAAAAAAAAGAAATTTACAGATATTAATAAAGTGGGGACCTCAGTCCTGTAATAGCAAGGAACTGAATTCTGCAAACAACCACATGAGCCTGGAATAAGACCCCACACTCTAGAAAGGAACACAGCTCAGCTGACACCTAAATTGCAGCTGTGTGAAACCTTGAGCACAAACTCCTGTGCTACAGAAACTGTTAGATAATAAACGTGTGTTGTGTTAAGGCCCTAAATTTGAGGTAATATATTACATAGCGTAGAAAAGTAACCCACAACCACAGGATGCCAAAGGTGCCTTACAACTAGCTAGCAAATGACTTTTGTGCTGCCTGCAGACTCATACCTCACATTAACTACTTCCCTCAGAACCCATTTTCCATTATCTGTATTTTAGGAAACTTTTAACCTAGTATATTCAATAAATAGTGCATTCTGTTTTAGAGAACTATTTTTCCCCTTCACAAAGCTATACTTACTCCTGCTTCTCCTTTCTTCATGCCAAAGCACATAACTACCCCATCATGATCCCCAATAACCACCTGTAATAGATGGAAGAGAATCGAAAATTACTTTTGTTACTATTATGACCTAATAATTATATACAGGGAAAGCAAGATTCTTAATTTATAAATATTGACTTAATAGAAAACAGAAAATCTAGGAAAGACACCCTCACAAAAAATAATCCTCAAAAGAACAAGAGCCAAAAGAGAAGGATATGGAGAGTCATTAGAAAAGTAATTGGCCATAGATTTTGTTCCTATAATGTTAATAGGACAACACAAATATGGTTGTTTTTTTTTTTTTCAACTTTTATTGTAGGTTCTAGGAGTCCACATGCAGGCTGTTATGAAGGTATATTTCCGGATAATGGATTATGGTCAGAAATGCCTACAAAGTAATTTTTTTTTTTCATAACTGGAGCATAAGAATATTTTAAGATTAACTTTTAAAACAGATTATCAAAGTTGTGAGTGACATATTTAATAATTTTAAACACCTTTTTTAAAAGTAAAATTTTAATGTATGAAAATGTACACAAAATATTATAATGAATTATCATGTGCCCATCACCTAGTTTCAACAATTACTAACATGTAGACAATGAATTATTTTGAAATAAATATAGAGGGACATTTTAACACTTCTTCCTCAAAAGGAGATATCAAACAACCTTGGACCAGTTCCAGTCCATGGCCTGTTGGGTACCAGGCCACACAGCAAGAGGTAAGCAGCGGGAAAGCAATCATTTACAGACTGAGCTCCGCCTCCTGTCAAATTGGCAGCGTCATCAGAGTCTCATAGAAGCACAAACCCTATTGTGAACTGCGCATGGTTGTATGCTCCTTAGGAAAATCTAACTAATTCCTGATGATCTGAGGTAGAACACAGTATTATCACAAAACAATCCCAGCCCGATTGGTGGAAAAACTGTCTTCCACGAAACTGGTTCCTGGTGCTAAAAAAGTTTGGGAGCTCTGGTTTAAGAAACTACTAATCCAGTTTAGGCATAGTATCAAATAGAAAGAGTCACAATCATCTGAAAAAGTTATTTAAATATCCCTCCTTATTTCCAACTACGTATCTGTGTAAGCTGATTTTCTTCAAATATTTCAACCAAAACAACATAGCACGAGATTGAATGCAGTAAACAAATATGAAAATCTGTGTGTGTATGCTTATGCCAGACATTAACCAAGTTGCAAAAAGTATAACATAATGATACTATACTCATTAAATTCTTTTTTGTTTTGAAAAATAATTATTTTTCATAAAGACGTGTTATATAAACATGTAATGAGTTAATTTTTTAATAAAAGAGTTTAAGCATTTCTTAGTCTTCATTTTAATACAGTAAGTATTGATACATACAACTTACAGTAAAAAATGTTCTTTGGGATCCTCAATCATTTAATTGTGTAAAGGGGTGCTGAGACCAAAAAGTTTGAGAAGTGCTAATCTAGGAGACTTAATACAATAAATGACAATCAGAAATCTGTTGGTTTATCTTTTTCATTTTATTCATTTAATTTTATTTTTAAATTGACAACAATTGTACATATTTGTGGGGTACATAGCAATGTTTCAATACATATAACATATACTGATCACATTGGGATAATTAGCGTATCCATCATCTAAAATACTGATCACTTCTCTGTGTTGGGATCAGTCAATATCTTCTTTTTAGCTATTTGAAACTATATATTGTTAACTATAGTCATCCTATAGTGGTATAGACTACTTGAGCTTATTTTTCCTATCTAGCTATTTTATATCCTTTAATAAATGCCTCCCTATCCCTTCCTTCCCTCTACCCTTTGCAGCCTCTAGTATTCTCTGTCCTACTTTTTACTTTAATATGACCAAATTTTTTTAGCTTCCACATATTAAGGAGAACATGTGGTGTTCAACTTTCTGTTCCTGGTTTATTTCACTTAACATAATGTCCTCCAGTTCCATCTGTGTTATTGCAAATGACAGGATTTCATTCTTCTCGCTCTTTTTTTTTTTTTTTTTTTTTTTGAGACAGAGTTTTGCCCTTGTCGCCCAGGCTCGAGTGCAATGGCACCATCTCAGCTCACTGCAACCTCTACCTCCAGGGTTCAAGCGATTCTCCCACGTCAGTCCCCCAAGTAGCTGGAATTACAGATGTCTGCCACCATGCCTGGCTAATTTTTGTATTTTTAATAAATACAAAATGGGGTTTCACCATGTTGGCCAGGCTGGTCTCCAACTGCTGACCTCAGGTGATCCGCCCGCCTCAGCCTCCCAAAGTGCTGGGATTACAGGCATGAGTCATCGTGCCTGGTCAGGATTTCATTATTTTTTATTGCTGAATAGTATTCCATTGTGTATGTATACCACATTTTTTTATACATTCATCTGTTGTTAAACACCCAGGCTGATTCCGTATCTTGGTTATTGTGAACAATGCTGCAATAAAACATGGGGGTGCAGTTGTCTCTTTGATATAATGATTTCCTTTGGGTAAATTCACAGTAGTGGGGTTGCTAGACCATATGGTAGCCCTATTTGTAGTTTTTGAAAAATCCTACATACTGTTTTCTATAGTGGATGTACTATCCCACCAACGGCACAGAAGAGTTTCCTTTCTCCACATTCTTGCTAGTATTTGTTGTTTTTTGTTTTTTTGTTTTCTTGTCTTTTTGATAACAGCCATTCTAACTGGGGTAAGATGATACTTCATTGTGGTTTGATTTGCATTTTCCTGATGATTAATGATAAGTATTTTTTCCTATTTTTTTGTCATTTGTATGTATTCTTTTGAGAAATGTCTGTTCAGATCATTTGCCCACTTTTTAATCAGATTGCTTGTTTGTTTGCTATTGGTATGTTTGAGTTCCTTGTATATTCTGGATATTAATTCCTTGTTGGATGAGTAGTTTGCAAATATTTTAAATCCCATTCTATAGGTTGTCTTTTCACTCTTGTTGTTTCCTTTCCTGTGTAGAAGCCTTTTTGTTTGATATGATCCCATTTGTTTATTTTTGCTTTTGTTGTTTGTGCTTTTGAGGTCTTATTCATTAAATATTTCCCCAGACCAATGTCCTAAAGCATTAACATTTAGGTCTTTTTTTGTTTTTTGTTTTGTTTTGTTTTTTTGAGATGGAGTCTTGCTCTCCCAAGTAGCTGGGATTATAGGTGCCTGCCACAACGACCAGCTAATTTTCTGTATTTCTAGTAGAGATGGGGCTTCATCATGTTGGCCAGGTTGGTCTCGAACTCCTGACCTGAAGTAATCCACAAGCCTCGGCCTCCCAAATTGCAGGAATTACAGGTGTGAGCCACCATACTTGGCCACATTTAGGTCTTTGATCCATTTTGTGTTCATTTTTATATGGGGTGAGAGGGTGAGAGGTGGAAGTCTTGGTTTCATCCTTCTGCATATGAATATACAGTTTTCCCAGCACCATTTATTGAAAAGGCTGTCCTTTCCCCAGAGGGTGTTCTTGGCTCTTTTGTCAAAAATCAGTTGGTTGTAGATATGTGGATTAATTTATGAGTTCTCTATTCTGTTTTATGTTCTCTGTGTCTCTGTGTTTTTATGCCAGTATTATGCTGTTTTGGTTACTACAGCTTTGTAGTATATTTTGAGATCTAGTAGTATAATGCCCCAGCTTTGTTCTTTTTATTCAGGATTGCTTTGACCATTTGGGGTCTTTGTGGTTCCATACAAATTTTAAGATTTTTTTTCTCTTTCTGTGAAGAATGACATTGGTATTTTGATAGAGATTGCATTGAATTGTAGATTGCTTTGGGTGGTATTGTCATTTTAACAATATTAATTCTTCCAATCCATGAACATGGGATGTTTTTCCATTTGTTTGTATCCTCTTTAATTTCTTTCATCAGTGTTTTATAGTTTTCCTTGTAGAGGTCTTTCATTTCCTTGGTTAATTTATTATTACGTATTTTATCTTTTATCTATTATAATTGGGACTGAGTTCTTGATTTCTTTTTCAGCTAGTTTGTGGTGTATAAAAACACCACTAATTTCTGGATATTAATTTTGTATCCTGCAACTTTACTGAATTCATTTGTCAGTTCTAAAAATTTTTTGGTACAGTCTTTAGGTTTTTCTTTCTTTTTTTTTGAGACAGAGTCTTGCTCTGTTGCCCAGGCTGGAGTGCAGTGGTGCAATCTCGGCTCACTGAAAGCTCCACCTCCTGGGTTCATGCCATTCTCCTGCCTCAGCCTGCCGAGTAGCTGGGACTACAGGCGCCTGCCACCATGCCCGGCTTTTTTTTTTAAATTTATTTTTATTTTTATTTTTTTTAGTAGAGACAGGGTTTCACCGTGTTGGCCAGGATGGTCTCGATCTCCTGACCTCACGATCTGCTCGCCTCGGCCTCCCAAAGTGCTGGGATTACAGGCGTGAGCCACCGTGCCCAGCTGAGTCTTTAGGTTTATTCTATATATAGGATCATGTCATCTGCAAACAGAGATAATTTGATTCTTCTTTCCAATCTGGATACACTTTATTTCTTTTTCTTGTATAATTACTCTGGCTAGGATTTCTAGTACTACGTGTAATTGTTGATTCATCTTGCTAAAATGTTTATATATCAGGATAAAGTATTTTTTGCAGTTTTAAAATACTTGGCTAGTCTACTAAGAAACTGTAATTGTTTTGTGGAAATCATAGGATCAATATTTCTTTAAACATAATCAGTGTTGTTAAGTACAAAGTTTAACATCAAAATATTTAATGACTTTAAAATATGAGAAAGTTTAAAGAGAACATTTTCTTGATATCTTATTCTGCTTTATATTTCTTTTTTCATACATCTGATACACAGAAAAATGGAGTATGGTTTTTAAGTTTGCCTACACTATTTACTAATGGTATGTAATAATTTTAATGTCCAAGAAAATTATTATCTATAAATGTCCCTTGGTATTCCAATTTCTGTTCAAATTAAAAAAAAAAAATCATTTCCATTTTAACATTAGCATTTTTAAGAGAATAACTTAATAATAAAGAAGGAAATAGGAGCCTCTCCTCTGTCAGTACTAGCGAATAGTGGAGAAATCAGAATCTATACAGCACCTTTTGTGTAGCTCTGTGTCTTGAGGCAGGAAGTAGCTTCATAGTCTTCTGAGATGTTACTCCCACCTAAAGAAAAACACCAGGTGCTTAGTGAATTTAATTTGAAGTTATTACAGAGATTAAAGGGATCAGCAGATTTAGGTTATAGTGAACCTTTTTGTTAAACTGAAATTAGTGATATAACTATTATCAGTAATTAACTTATTTTCTAATGAGATATGTCATATTAGTCAGAATACATATACAAAACAACCAAAATAGTAAACTTTATCCTAATGCCAAGCCAAAAATAGTTGTGTAAGATGACTGTCAAGATACTTTATTTAAAAATATCTCTAGAAGCCTTCTTTTCCAACTGCATACAGTTGTTGGGCAAAGTGATTCAAGAACTTTGAAAATAGATTATAGTTATTAGAAATGCAACGTAAGACCACATGCAGTGGCTCATGCCTGTAATCTCAGCACTTTGGGAGGCTGAGGTTGGAGGATCACTTGAGTCCAGGTGTTCAACACCATCCAGGCAACACAGGAGACTCTGTCTCTACAAAAAATAAAAAATTAGCTAGGCATGGTGGTGCATGCCTGTAGGCCCAACTACTTGGAAGGCTGAGGCAGGAGGATAACTTGAGTCCAGGAACTTGAGGCTTTGGTGAGTCATGATCATGCCACTGTACTCCAGACTGGCTGGGTGACAGAACAAGACCCTGTCTCAAAAACAACAACAACAACAACAACAACAACAACATCATATATTTCTGCTAAAATAACAAACATGATGATGGCCATAATATCCAATCTAACGAGTGAAGATTATTTTACAAAAAATACAGAGGATGAAAGCAGCAGGGAACTGTCACTGTTGGTGTATAGTTAGAAGAGGATGGGACCAATGGGACAGAAATTGGTGAAAACAACACATCATGATAAAACTTTCATATAGTATAAATGACTTTATTCTGAATTCCAGAAAAATTGTATTAAAGTCATCTGTTTAGATTTGTATTTCTGAAACATCCATCTAGCAAGTGATGTGAAGGATGGCTTGGAGGGAGATGAAGCTGGTGTTCAGGAGCCCAATTTGGAGGTTATTTCAATTATTCAAGCAAGAGAAGATGAGAACTCAAATGAGGGTAATAGAGATGAAAGACACGGGACAGATTCAAGAGATATTTGGGAGTTAAAAGCAGCAAGATGTGGTGACCAGTTGGATATGGAAGATATTAAGGTGGGAAGTACATAGCATAAACCCCTAGAAAATTGACTGGGCAAACATTTGTACCATTAGCTGAAATGAGATGGCCTAAAAATATGGTGAGGAATTGGGGTAGAGAGAATTTTAGGTATGAAAGAAATTCTGAAAGGCAGTGTGGTGTAACAAAAAAGACACCAGTTCTGGAGTCCGAGACTTTGATTCAAATAGCAAATCCCTAATTTTTAGCTACTAAGCAAATTACTTACCTTCTTTAACCCCTTAGATCCTCATTTATAATATTGTCTACTTTGCAAATTCTTATGAGGATTAAATATGTTGGTAGGTACGCTAAATTCTTAGAATAAGCTAGATGCACATTAAACTGTTTTCATGGCTTTTTTTTCCCCCTTCTGTCTGTCACCCTGGGTAGAGTGCAGTTCCATGATGTCGGCGCACTGCAGCCTGCCTCCCGAGTTCAAGCGATTCTCCTGCCTTAACCTCCCGAGTACCTGGGATTACAGGCGCCCGCCACCACGCCGGGCTAATTTTTGTATTTTTTGTAGAGACGAGGTTTAACCGTGTTGGCCAGGCTGGTCTTGAACTGCTGACTTTAGGTGATCCGCCCGCCTCGGCCTCCCAAAGTGCTGGGATAACAGGCGTGAGCCATCGCCCCCGGCCCAGTTTTCATTGCTTTTACTATGATCTGCCTGGTGCGGTCCAGCTCACAGTAAGAAACAAGTGCCTGGTGCTTGGGCGAACGATCCGGGTAGAGATGGAGATTGAGGATTGGAGGCCCTCAGGCAGCCGCGGCTAGGGAGGAGAAGGGCCCTGGGGGGAATCCGGGATCAGACCGTGTCAGCATTTTCAGAGCATCCTCAGGAACCGGCAGGAGCCAGCACCGTGGGGGCTTGCGCCGCTTTTCCCCGGTCCCCTCGGACCGTCACAGACAAGAGGGAGCTGCCCAAAGGCGGGGTGCTGAGAGGTCGGCACCCAGCCCGGCTCCTTCGCCTCCGCACCAGCTCCTGGAGACCCAGACTTTCGGCAGTGAAAGGAAGGAATCCTCTCTGGGAGCTGGGCTTGTCCAGCGCGGTGCCCGCCCCATCCCTTGGGTTTACCTGTAGATAATCCATTCGGTTTAAAATCGGATCCATGATGACAAAGCTGAGGGGCTAAGCAGCGCCGGACAAGAACAGGAGGGACAGAGACTGCCGGCCCGCAGGCTTCCGACCCAGTCTGAAAGCCGCCCGCGCCCCCTCAGAATCCAGCTCCAGCTACCGCGCCTACTTCCTGGGCTGCAAAGGCCGGGCGACAGGGCAGTGGCGTCCTGCGTGACGTCAGTACGCTGCTGCGAGGGGCTCCTGGATGAATATGAAGGCCCGTCCCTTTCCCGAAGCACCGCCCACTGTAGCGTGTTCCAATCAGAGGCGGAGAGGAACTAAGGGCGCGAGGTCTGGGAGACTCAGACAGGGCGGTTTCCACAGAGACCCCAGACGCAGCCTTGGCTCCACCCTCACCGCGGCCCAGGTCTAATACTGGACTTCTTTCCTCATCGCTGTAGAGAAAACTAGTTAAGCCTGCTAGATTCTGACCGATTTCACTCTGACGTTGGAAAGGGTCCCGCGAAGAATTAGGTTCCACCGTTACAGGTGTTAGCTTACAGCAGCGGTTCTCAGACTTTTGGCCTTAGGACTTCTTTACAAAACTCTTAAAAAACCGTTGAGGACCACAAAGCCATTTGCTTTTTGTGGGTTTTCTCTCATTTTTATTTATTTATTTTTTATTTCAATAGTTTTGGGTGTACCGGTGGGTTTTGGTTACATGGATGAACTCCTGAGTGGCGAATTCCGAGATTTTAGTGTACCCGTCACCCACCAGTGTACACTGTACCCAATATGTAGTCTTTTATCCCTCACCCCGCTCCCAATCTCCTCCCCACCTGGAGTCCCCAGAATCCATTACATCACTCTGTATGTCTTTGCCTCCTCGTAACTTAATCCCACTTATACGTGAGAACATGCAGTATTTGGTTTTCTATTCCTAAATTACTTCACTTAGAATAATGGCCTCCAGCTCCATCCAAGTTGCTGCCAAAAGATATTATTTCGTTCCTTTTTATGGCTGAGTAGTATTCAATGGTGTATATATATATATACTACATTTTTTGAATCCACTCATTAGTCAATGGACACTTAGGTTGGTTCCATATCTTTGCAATTGCGAATTATGCTGCTACAAACATGCATGTATATGTGTCTTTTTCCTTTGGGTAGATACCCAGTAGTGAGATTGCTGGATTGTATGGTAGCTCCACCTTTATTTATTTATGGAAGCTTTATACTGTTTTCCATAGTGGTGGTATTAATTTACATCCCCCAAGCAGTGCAAAAGTGTTCCGTTTTCACCATATCCACGCCAACATCTACTGTTTTCTAATTTTTTTATTATTATTATTATTTATTTATTTTTTTTAGACAGAGTCTTGCTCTTGTCCCCCAGGCTGGAGTGCAACAGCACTATCTAGGATCACTGCAACTTCTGGCTCCCGGGTTTAAATGATTCTCCTGCCTCAGCCTCCCGAGTAGCTGGGATTACAGGTGCCCGCCACCACACCTGGCTAATTTTTGTATTTTCAGTAGAGACAGGGTTTTGCCATGTTGGCCTGGTTGGTCTCAAACTCCTGACCTCGTGATCTGCCCGCCTCATGGCCATTCTTGCAGGAGTAAGGTGGTATCTCACTGTGGTTTTAATTTGCATTTCCCTGGTGATTTAGTGATGTTGAGCATTTTTTCATGTTTGTTGGCTATTTGTATATCTTCTTTTGAAAAATGTCCTTTGCCCACTTTTTGATGGGATTGGTTTTTTCTAACTGATTTGAGTTCCTTATAGATTCTAGATACAAGTCCTTTATCAGATGCACAGTTTGAAAATATTTTATTTTACTCTATGGACTGTTTAGTGATTATTTCTTTCGCTGTGCAGAAGCTTTTTAGTTTAAATAGGTCCCATTTATTTATTTTTGTTTTTGTTGCATTTGGCTAATGTCCAAAAGAGTTTTCCCAATGTTATCTTCTAAAATTTTTGTGGTTTCAGGTCTTAGATTTAAGTCTTTGATTCATCTTGAGTTGATTTTTGTATAAGGTGAGAGATGGGAGGCCAGTTTCATTCTTCTACATGTGGCTAAACCAGTTTTCCCAGCACCATTTATTGAATAGGGTGCCCTTCTCCCAATTTACGTTTTTGTATGCTTTGTCGAAGATCAGTTGACTGTAAGTACTTGGCTTTATTTCTGGGTTCTCTATCTGTTCCATTGGCCTATGTGTCTCTTTTTCTTTTTTTTTTTTTTTTTTACCAGTACCATGCTGTTTTGGTAACTAGCCTTGCAGGATAATTTGAAGTCTGATAACGTGATGCCTCCAGATTTGTTCTTTTTGCTTACTATTACTTTGGCTATTCAGGCGCTTTTTTGATTCCATATGAATTTTAGAACTTTTTTTTTAGTTCTGTGAAAAATAGTAAGGATATTTTGATGGCAATTATACTGAATCTGTAGATTGCTTTGGAAAGTATGAAGACCATTTGTTTATATGAGTTTACCTATTGATTTTAACCATAGTAGACATTAGAACTGAAAGCAATTAGTGTTTTTTAAAAACCTATGACGAATATCTTAATTAAAAATATTTTCCAAAATCAAAAAATAAAATGAAATAACTGGTACTGTGTGCAAATCTATTTTCTGTCCATTTTAATAGTAGACAGGAGGAGCTTCAAATCTGCTACTGCATTCAATCTATTGTTATATGTTGTTTTTGTTCATGTGTATGAAGAAAATTTCGTCCAAACTCAACAAGTGGTAGTTTTTTGAAAGGTTAGTTGCAATGTGAAATGTGACTTCGTTACATAACATCAAAAAATCCCATCTGTTAGTACCACCATGGATCTCATCAGTGAAGTCCCGAGTATGGGAGATCTGTCAAACTTAGAATGGCGAATACATATTTTCCAAAATTCAAATTTGTGCTTGAAAGTTTGAAATTTACACATTGGCAACAAATGTCGATTGTTTTCCTTGAACTGATAGGTTCCCTTCTTGAATTCACAAGAAAGTAAATGCCAAATATCTAAGTCTGAATAATCATAATTTGTCAGTAATTCCTTCAAATAAAAATAGTGTCCCATGAAAAAAGCAGCAAGTTCAGCTAGCAGCTCAATCCCACAAGTGCTTTTCCTTGAGCCAGCTAATGTACTTCAGTATTCAGTAGAAGGATTTTATACATACTTCTTATGTCATCACATACAACATTTAAAAAGACATATTCAAGAGTTAAGATGTAATAAATGAGGGCTGAATCAGAAGAAAGAAAAAAGGTAAAAAGATAATATTAACAATGTTGCTGCTTCGTAAAGGACATTTTTATATGAAATGGTTTTTGTTTCCTATCAGGGCATGGCATGTAGAATATGGTGTCTACTAGTACGGTTTGGAGCCACTATTTTGATTTATGCTTAAGCACTAGCAGTATTAACCACCATTGTTTTGGTACCATCATTCCAAATGTCAGCAGAGTGAAATGGCAAATCACATCTTAGTATTATGAAAATAGTTTCAAAATTGCAGACAGCTGTGAAAAGGCCTCAGGAACCAACCCTGCCCCTCAGGGCCCCACAGACTACTACTGACCCATAGTGACCCACGATTTAAGAGCTGACATTCTTTGACTCACTTTCATCAGTCCTTCCTTAATGCGCATAGAGCTCTGCCTAGGGAAGTACAGATGAGTTCAGATACAGCTACTTTCCTGATTTTTGTGGTTTTTCTTTTTCTTCTATTTTTTTTTTTTTTTTTTTGTAGAGATGGGAGTTTTGCCATGTTGCCCAGGCTGGTATTGAACTCCTGGGCTCGAGTGATCGCCCACCTCAGCCTCCCAAAGTTCTGGGATTACAGACATGAGCCACTGTGGCTTTCCAGGAAAGAGTTCACAAATAATTGTGAAACAAAAAGAATTAAATCCCTGAGAAGAGGTGCTTCTTAAGAAGAGAAGTTATTTACTGCAGCAATATCTGAAAAAGTTTTCCCTTTGTTCCAGACAATTATTTCTCTGAGGCTAAAATCATTCCACATTAAAATAGACAATATATGAAGATGGGTTAGCTCTTCAGCAATTTGGGGGAAATATACATCAATTTAGATTCAAGAAAAAAAATACAGATAAATCTTAGAAGTCAACTGAAAAATAAAGCCACAGAAGAGAGAGAAGAAAATAGAATTGTATAGCATTTTACAGAATTTTGGAGGTTGGAGGATATATTATTAGTTTGCTAGGGCTGACATAGCAAAGTACTACACACTGGGAGGCTTTTCAACACAGAAATTTATTTTCTCACAGTCCTGAAGTCTAGAAGTCATAGATCAAGGTGTCAGCAGGGAACCAAACCAATCTTCAGAGGCCTCTCTTCTTGGCTTGTAGATCGCTGTCTTCTCCCCGTGTCTTCACATGGTCCTTCCTCTATGTCTGTTTGTGTCTTATCTTGTCTTTTTAGAAGGACACCACTCGTACTGAATTAGGGCCCACTGAGATTATCTCATTTTAAATTAATCACCTCTTTAACGACCCTATCTCCAACTATAGTTATAGTCCGAGATACTGAAGGCGAGGACTTTAACACGTGTTTTGAGGGGACACAATTCAGCCCATAACAGACGGAAACTGATCTCAAAAGGAATAGAAGAAACCACAAAGGAAAAAAGCCGATATGGTGGTACATGCCTGTAGTCTCAGCTATTTGAAGGCTGAGGCTCAAGAAGATTACTTGAGCGCAGCAATCTAGCCTGGGCAAAATAGCAAGGCCCCATCTCTAAAAAACAAACAAACAAACAAAAAACTAACTTAAAAAAAAATGAAAAGTAAAGATAAACATTTCAATATGTCACAACAATGTTTAAATGAAAACAAAAATATAGGAGAAAAGAGTTAATATCTTAAAAAATAGTTCATACAAATAATTAAGAAATACTATGATTCTAATAAATAGGCAAAACAAAAACAAAAACAAAAACAGACAATGCCGGCAGTGCTTATTTTCCATTTAACAAGTGATGTCCACTGTTTAATTAATTGTGTAGAAGGAAAGCAAGAGTTTGTTTTGAAGCTCAAATTTATTTTAAAACAGTGAAATGAGGCTATGATATAGCATCAAAACAAAACAAAAAGTTTGCATAATATGATATTTGGAGTTCTTTGATTTTGCATTTAAAAATGCAATTTATTATTTTTAAAGTACATACTATGTTTTGTTTCTAAATGATTAGTAAAGATTTCAAACTACTAATTTTAAGTATTCCTCAACTAATTAATTAGCAGGGTGAGGAATTTTTATTCACAATAAAGAAAATGTCAAGTTAAATTACCACTGTGTGTCCTCTTTTTAAAGATGTTTTAAGGTATCATAGACATCTTGGTGGTCTTTATAAAACTCAACAGAAGATGATTGCCTCTCAGATGTGACAAAGACCACTTTGGAGACAAATTTGCAGAATTACCATGCACCTTAGTAATTTATAACCTTATGTTATGGTGCTAAAGCAATCATTATAAGTTAAACAACTTATGGCTAAAAATAAAAGCAATTTAAACTGCATTAAAGTTAAAACCATCAACACGCTAGTAGTGGTCAGCAGAATGACTGAGTCATGAGTAAAAACATTAGTTTCCCCTAACACATGGTATAAATTTAGAAATTTTCAAACTCTTTTTTAAACTGAACAAAGTTACAGATACCCATTTTAGGTTTTGTTTTTTTTTTTTTTTTCGGTGAGGGGTTCACTTTGTCACCCAGGCTGGAGTGCAGTAGCGTGAACACAGCTCACTGCAGCCTCAACTTCCCGGGCTCAAGTTATCCTCTTACCCCAGCCTCCTGAGTAGCTGGAACCACAGACACACGTCACCATGCCCGGCTAATTTTTTTGTATTTTTTGTAGAGACAGTTTCACCATGTTGCCCTTCTGGTCTCAAACTCCTGAACTGAAGCCATCGACCTGCTTCAACCTCCCAAAGTGCTGGGATTACAGGTGTGCACCACAGTGCCCAGCCTGATTTTGGGAGGCTGAGGCAGGAGGATCGCTTGAAGCCAAAAGTTCAAGACTGGCCTGGATAACATAGGGAGACCCATTTCTAAAAATATATTTTAAAAAGTTTATTTAAAAAATTTAAAAAGACACAGAAAGAAAGATTACCACCTTGGATGATATTAACCTGCTGAAACACCTCTATGAGCTCCAGGGACTAGAAACCCTTGATGTAGCATAACCCTGTTTGCCTGAACTATTTATGAAGACCAGAGAAGTTAAATGGGTTGTCCCACACCACAGTCATTAGTGTGGCTTCAGTTCTCTTTAGATATTGTCCATAAGACAATTTATCATCCCATTTACAAAAGCTGCTTTCATTTGGCTTGCACATTTGAAATATAAATATACTGACATATTGGGTAAGATAGTTATCCTAAATTGCATCAAATTTGCTTTTAATAATCACAACATATCATTTTAAAGTTTTTATTGTGCATAAACTCTTTGAAGATATTGTGTACCATTTTTGAAAGTTTTCTCATTATTTCAAGTCTAAGAACCCAAACTTTTGAACAGATTGTGACTTCCATAAAGTCACAGGTGCTCTGTAAATTCAATATAGCAGGAACTTACAAAGTACCAAACTTTTCAAACAGTACGTCTAAGAAGCAGTTTGACTGTTGCTTTCTTTTCTTTATTTTATCTGTAACTGAGAAAAAAATAAGAATAGCAAAGAGGTAAAAAAATGAGAGATGTCCCAAGGAAAGAAGAGTCCTGGGGTTTTGACAATCCTTTAATTAATGTTTTTTTTTTCTAGAAAGTTGTTTTTGGTCCTGTTTAAACGCTCCCTTCTCTGAATTGCCCCAACAACTTTGAGCTTTGTTTTCCCAAAGATATCTGTTAAAAGTGAGTAGGGAAAGGACTTGCTGACCCAGAGCTATCTTTATCCTCAAGTGAAGGACTAATTCTGACAGCAATCCCCTAGACTAATCCTCATTTCAACCATAGGCTACCACATTAATACCTTCTGTCTTAGTGTGAGTTCCCTAAAAGCAAAACCTAACAAGATTTGGATGTGATGACTCATTAAGGGGATGCTCTCTGGAGAAAGGGAGGGAAGGAAACTTGAAAAGGCAGAGGAAGAAGCTAAACCAAGATTTCATCTCAACTTGAGTCTGGCATCAGCCTAATCCTTTCAGGAGCTCTGGAGCATGAACTGCACCAAATAGTTGGCCCCACCTTGAGACAAGGGGCCGGCCCTTTGTGCCCCCACCCATCAGTCACTGGCCATGGGAAGCTGGAGGCATCACATCCAGGGTAAAACTGCTTCTTTTTAGCTGAGGGCAATTCTCCAGGGGAAGTGATTAGCTAGGAACTGGACAGGAGAATATGGGAGACAGGTGCACTGGCCCAGTAGAGGGCATCTGGGCAGGGCATCAAAAACATCAATCACACACACTACACTTTGTCATCACACCTTCTTCTGAAACACCACCTTGAAATGATAAGGAAAAAGATGAACTATTAAAACTATACCAGTTTATACATAGTAAATAAAGAAAAAATGCCTGTTAAGAGCTCCACAGTTGTGAGGGGCATGGACGCAAAAAAAAAAAAAAGTCAGTTTTTTTTTTAATTCACATCGTGTGGATACCATGAGGCTTATCTTCATACTTCTCTGATCTTCAGATTCCAAGGATCATAGGCTGAATGTCCCCAGCTGAATCTGCCACTTTTTCATTCAGCATTTTTTCCAACCCCAAGGAAGAAAATTACAAAATATTCAGTTCCATAGCTATAAGCAAAAACTTTTCACACTTGGAATCTGGACCATACTATAAAACTATCAGAAATATCTATTATAGAAACTTTGTATCTTTACTATCTTAATATAACATATGGTAACATATAACAATGGAAAAATTCAATATTTTATTCAGTTCTGAGACACAACATGAAGTCTTAAAAATGTTTAAGACAAATACTCTTAGCATCGCACAAAAGTTAATGTTCTACAATGGTAGCAAAAAATGTATAAAGTTCCTTTCTTAATTTAACTCTCAAAAAGTAGAAATTAAGAAGTAACTTTAAAGAGCTTTATGTAGTTCCATTTAACACTTATTTCTGTCTTCACATCTAGAAAGCTTTTCTGTGTGACAGCAATGATTTTAAAGTAGCATGTATTTAGTTGGTTTTAAGGACCTCTGAAACTCTTTGAGCTATGATCACAATTCGTATTCCTATAAGACTTGACAGCAACTGACTGAAGGGACTCAGGATGCTAAACATAACTCTATGAGAGATTTAAACCTAGCTGGTTAAAAAATGCTTTGAATGTTTTATGGTCTCTGAAGCGACCGGGGAACTTACTGGTCTGTATGCCTTTTCCCAAGAGGCATTGCGGATATTACCAGCATTCAGCTCAGTTATGTAATAAGGCATACGTAGATACATCACAATCTATTTTATATAGAAAGTGGAATTGGAATCCTTTGATGAGAAAAAAAGATGTCAATCGTTGTAAGTAATGATGGCAGGAAATGCCTCAAAGGGAACTGAAACACACCTGGGGATGCTTGGCCATGTCTTTCCAGGTACGCCCATAGTCATTGCTCTTTCCTATTTCTTCCCATGAGCAGACCCTCCAAAACTCAGAAGGGAGCTCACGGATGAGATACAAAGTCAGCTGTTGATATCTCATTTAGCATTAAAGCAGCAGAGGCAGAAAATAGACCGTTATAACAAAATGACAATCCTGCATAACCTCCAACTTAAAAGAAAATTACATTACTGAAAAATGACAAATGTAAGTCTAAGATAGAAAGCAAGCAGTCTGTATTTTAGAAAAATCTTTAATGTGTTGTTTTAAATAATTATATGAAACTTAAATATTTAATGTAATTATATTTTCCATTAACCGATTTTGTTGTTAAACTCTTCCCTCGGGGCTCAATGGTTCTAGGATTATCAGTGACACCTAAAATTCTAAGAATGTCTTACCAAGTCATAGCTGGTTGTAAAATTTCTTCAGTTTCTATTTAAAAAAAAAAAAGATCTCTTCAGAACTCAGAACTTGGACAAGGGAAGGTATGCTACATAGTGAGGACTTTTTATTTTTATTTTGTTGGCAGTTCAGTTCAGTTGGTTTCAACATTTATTGAGCACCTACTATGTACCAGGCACTGTACTAGATGCTGGAGACACAAAGATGAATAAGACATGGTCCCTGTCCCCAAGAAACTGATAGTCTCTTGGAGGCAAACAGGTAGTGCAAAGATGTGGAGTTTAAAATGAATAAAAATTTCAATAATATAGTAATATTGGGCTTTTCAACACAATGGTATGTCATTGTAATGTCAAGGCAGACAAATAAAATGCATTTTCATGTGATAAAACAATAAAACCATTACGAGCTAACTTTTAAAGATTCACATGATAAAGGTAGTTAATACTAAAAATGTACATCATAGTTTTTCAAGTATTTCATACTTAGAAATATTATTGCCCACATTTGTGCTACAGTCAAAGCCAAATCCAGGTTGCCGCATCATTCGCATCTCAGCATGCTGGGATTCAGTTTCTCACTAAGTTTATGAATTAGAATGGCTAATTCCTCAGTTGCTTGGCTCTTGTCTTCCAAAAGTTCATAACGAAGGCTGGAGATATCTTGCTTGATTTCTTTTAATTCACCTATAGTATTGATATTAAAAAATTATTGGTAAGTTGCTCTTTGCATGTAGAAAAGAACAAAGAGTGAAATTCTTACAATATCAATGTATTTGCTTCATAAGGTCTCCAAAGTAGCTACTTCAAAGTTTTTTCTTTAAAATATTTAAGAAACATCTGTCTTTAAAGGTATACTGACCTTTGAAAAAAGCTATAAAAATAGTCCAGCTATATTTTTTAAGAGTAACACTCAGCTTAAAGTATTGTCCTTTTGTTCACCCACCTTTTAACATAAGGTGATTCTCTGTAAACTAATCTATAGCCAGGATATCTCCTTTCTGACTACAAGGGAGTCCCTTTGTTTCTTTCAAGTGTAAAGATTGACACCTGCATCAAACATTTCCCATTGCTAGGATCAAAGGGAATCCTAGAAAAACTAAATTTTACTAAAAATGAATCAATCTGTCTGACAGGCAAATAATTTTAAGGCAAATATGAAGTAAGGGAAAGAAAGAAAAAAGAGTAGAGAGTGTTTACTAGGGAAGGTAATGGCAATGGACATGAAGACATTAGTTTGTCCAGCATAAAGGATTAATGTATAAGGAAGTAACAAGCAACAGCGCAATTGAGGAGTTTAGATATGATACCACTGGCAATATATTCTTGAAGAGAATAGAAAAGTTTGGGCTATAAAAATAAATTGTTCCCATAGTTCAGTTTGGCAATATTTAGAGCATACGTGTATTGCAATTAGAAACTGGATTCTCTTCAAGGAGAGGCAGTATTTGGTTAAAAAAGAAAAGAAACACTGGATTCTCTTGCAAGTGACTGTAATGTAGATAAATCACTGACTTTCAAAGTGAATGTTGGAGCAAGAATTTACCTTGAATCTAAGAAATGATTCTTCAAACCATTGACTTAGCTTTTTATAATAAAATGGCATTTGAAACACACCTTTGATGATATTTCCTCGTATCTTTAATATGCTTTAAAGTATAATTTCAATATTCTTCTATTACATAAACATCAGAGCCTTTTTATTTGAAAAAAATTCTAACTCTCAGAAATACAGAACATTTAAGGAGCCTTTTGTGGCAAAAAAAAAAAAAAAAAGTGCTTCCTTTGGCATATGGCAATATAAAAGGAATAAACTGATCTTATTTGAAATCATGAGGCAGACTTCGGTGGAAGGAGTGGATTCTCACACCATTCAGTATCATAGAGGACCCCCTGCCCCATTTCACCTTCTACTATCCTTTCTTCCTTGTTCCCCACTCATGGGGAGACTACAACCTATGTGTTGTATTAAATATTTACTCTGCCAATTCAGGAAACACAAGTTACTCAAACTCTTCAGATTTTAATTTCCTCATTAATTAAATAAGGAGGTTATATGACACACTTTCTCAGTAAGAACTTTGTTCAAAACTCCAAATTCCCATTGATTTTCCTCCTTTGTGCAAGGGCTTGGGAAATGCTTCTTGTTTTTTATGCTGTTTTGGCCATACAATTCTTCCACTTTGTTCCTCCCTCCCCACCCCCATGGAGGTTATGGTACAACTGATCAGACTTCTGCTTTCTAAACTACCACCTCATTCCAATCCTTTCTCCTGAGACAGTTTGATTAGGTCACCATGATTAGATTTTTGCTAGTTATCAATTATAAATTCACAGGTTTCTTTTCTACATACATATACTATTAGATTGATTTCAATTTAAAAGGGATTCCTTGTATTAATCAAGTAACGGCTTCAAAGTCCATGAACTATAATATTATGAAGTTTAGCCCTTTCTTCTTTTATCAATGTAGATAGATTTAGTGGCATCTCATTGATGTTGGAAGGTACAGTTTGCATTTTTAGGGCAACTTATTTCTCTCTGGTTGATTTCTTTCCAACTCTGGGCCTGTGTTTAGCTCTATCTCCTAGACTTTTGTAAAAAATTTTTATAGTCCACACTGATGCCCTGCCTCAAATATGCCTTAAAAAAATAAGCTTGCTTAAAGTAAGGAGGCAGGGGGGAAAGTGAAATTCAAAAGAGAAGCACCAGACAAGAAAAACAGGTTAAAAATGTGTTTCTGAACAACAAAATAGAGGTTTTCCTGAGCACATGAATTCTGTTTGAGTCACTGTTCTTTTATCTGCTTAACTGGAAAAATGTTAACACTAATGTGAACTCACTGAAAATGTAACCAATACTACTGACTACTTTATGTCAGAGGGATTAAAAAACTGCTAGAAAGATGTCAGTCTTTACATTCTAAGAATCAGTTAGGGCACTATGAGTAGAGATAAATTGCCTCTGATCAATATTTTAAATAACTGTTTATTTTAAAAGATGAAGTTTTAAAAATGTAACATAAGATCCTTCTCCCATCTGAGAGGCATCCAAACTATAACCTGGGATTGGATTTTTAAAGTATGCCTCAATATGAAGTTTTCTAGGTTCATTAAGTTAGTTATAAAAGGATGTTTCTCAAGTTGGAGATGCTTACCTTCATTAACTTCATCATTTTCTTTGTCTACTTGTGCTTTCAAAACATACCGCTTTATAAGTCTTTTCATTATCTGCTGTTGGGCAAAAGTAAATGATTAGACCTCCACTGATATACATAAGTGCCCCGAATCTTATTTTCCAAAGAGGCTTACATACCTGTAAAGCAAACAACTTGGGAGAAAAATATTTTATAACTATGTATAGAAAAATTATGCAGGTTTCAGAACTTAACTCTCTTAACGCCTTCTACTGAGACTTATTGCATAATCCACCAATACTTTTTTTTGCCTCAGAAATGGAAGAAGCTTTCAAAAAGAAGTTAAGCTTGAAGATTTGAATTCACGGCTTCTCTTTCAACTGACAGTTTCTTTTTGAGTTACATTAATGCTACATTATCACTCATAGACACTACCTTATTTCCCAGTATTTAGAAAAATACATTAATGTATGCTCTCGATAGAGAATTTGTAAAATACAGAGAAGAGCAACTAAATAATGAAATCATTAGCAACCTCACCATCCAATGATAATCACTGTTGTCATTTTGGTGTATGTCCTTCCAATATCTTTTCTTCAAATTTTGTATATATACTAATTACTGTATTATATTTTACATTTTCTAAATGCCATATATTTTGTTACATTGCATGCTTTTCTCTAATATCTATATATAGTGACTATTTTCAGTCTAAATAAATGCTCTTCTAGGATAACTGTTTATCCTTATGGAAAAAAATAAATTGGAGCCCTATTTCATACCATGAATACAAAAATTAATACCATGTGCATCTTAAATGTGAAAGATAAAGCTTCTGAATCCTTAAAATATTATATAAGACAGTATATTTATAAATTTAGGGTAGGCCTGGATTTTAAAAAAAACAAGATTAAAACTTCTGATTACAATAGAAAAGACTGATAAATGCAACTTCATTACAATTTAAAATTTCTGTTTATAGAGATACCATAAAGAAAGTGAAAAGATAAGTCACAGACTGGGAGAAAATATTGGTAATACTTGTAAGTAAAAATAATTTGGATCCAAATACATGAAGAACTTTAATTCAATAAGAAAAACTCAAATAACCCAATTTTAAAATGGGCAAAAGACAAACGAATGTTTCACAGAAATGGAAATGTGAAGGGTCAACAAGCTTAAGAAACAATTTCAAACTCTGTTGCAGGGAAATACAAATTATGACTAAAAGGAGACACAATTTTACATCTAATAAAGAGAATGATTAATGAATCTGGTCATGCCAAGTGTTGGAAAGGAGATGAATCAATGGGGACTTTTATATTTTACTGGCAAGACTGTAGACAACTTTGTTGACAATTTAGTATTATCTTTTTAGTTTTTAAATTGATTTATATTAAGAAAATTTTAGAGGTGGTCTCACTATACTGTACAGGCTTGCCTCAAACTCCTGGGCTCAACGCTGTCCTCCTGCCTCAGCCTCTCAAGCAGCTGGAGCTATAGGCATGAGCCACTGCAGCCAGGTGGTATTATCTTTTAAAGTTGAACATTTGCATGCCCTTTCACCTAGAAAGTCCACTTCTCAGTATAAGGTCTAGAGAAACTTTGCAGGTATGAACCAAGAGACATACAACAATGTTTGTAGTAACTCTGTCTGAAATTGCAAAACACTAGAAACAATCTAAACAAATATTAACAAGAATAGACAAATTGTAGTATGTTATAATGTAATGTTATTGTGTTCATTAATGAAATTAATGCACCATAGCCACACACAATAGTGTGGATGAATCTTAGAAGCATAATGTTGAATGAAAAATTCCAGTTGCAGAAGACCGCAAAGTATGAAGCTATTCTTATGAAGCTCAATAACAAGTAAATCTATAAAATATATTTTTAGGAATATTGACATATATAATAAATTATATTTGAAAAGAAAATCAAAGCAAGAAGAGGAGAAACCCAACTTCAAGATAGGGATTAACTGTTAGGTGAAGGCAGAGGAGTAGGTAGGGAGGTGCATATAAGTAGAGGCAATGGATGGATAATGTTATCATTGTCAGGTCGGTGGTGGTTTCATAGGTGTGAATGTAATTATGCTTCATAATTTATTTTGCATTATACATATTCTTATGCATGTAACAAATATTGTATATAAAAGATAACAAAGGAAAGGGAAAAAGACCTGAACTAAGATGCAGGCATAGCGAGAGTAGAAAATATATACTTCAATTTTAAGAAAGTAGAAATTACACCAAGGTCAAGTAAAAGAGAGGAATCCAGGAAGATTCAAAATGTTATGCAAAGAATAACAAGAAACTGAGAGGGCCCGTGCTACTGAAAAGGAAAAGCTCATTTTACCAGTCACTGTAAGATATAAAACCTGTTGAATTTTATAGAATCTAGATCCCAAGACAGACTCACAGCTGGATGGATCTTAACCTGGATTGATTCATTCATTCGGCAAATATTTATTGAAAGCCAGTTCCGTGGCAGGTACTGAACTAGGTGCTAGGAATACAACAGTGAACACAGTCCCCAGTCCAGTGAAACTTCGTATTGATACGGAACAATTCACTATAATGGGTGAACAAATCAGGGATCTGGTTAAATTTAGGGGACAGTGAAGACAGATTCCTATAAAACGAAAATACAAAGTTACGTGTATCAGTTAATAGCAGCTCGAAAGGCAGTAATACAAATTGATGGAAAAGAAATGACTATTTAACAATTAGTGCTGAGACAAGTTGAGCCTCTGCACAAGGCAAGAAGGCACCTGAGGTTAGACAGAAATCAGTTTCCCCATATATGACACTACCTGGTAATAGTCCATCCCTTTGTTCGTGTTGGAAAGATAATTTGTGAGGATTCTAAAATGATCTGCAGCTCAGAGAAGGAGACAAAGATTGGCCATCCCCATTCTATTAGGAAGCTTGTCTAGTAAACCCAAGACAGTATTGTGTAATAGGCAACAAAGACTCTTGAGGCCTCTCTCCCCCTATTGCAATAGCTCCTGAATAAAATCTGTTTTTACCACTTTAGCTACTGTCTAACTCTGGTTTTCTTTAACACAGTTGAGATTGTGAGCTGCAAGAACAAATCATGTAGATCTGGAACCTTGGTATCTTAATCTGCATAATGGAAATGCTAGACTGTGTCTTGGAAAAGAGACAGTACATGTAAATTACATAGTAGGTCCTTGAATAATATAACTATTATTCTCTCATTATAATCTAAGCTTCTGTAAAGCAAATCTCAATAAATGCATCTTAATGATGGTATCATAAGCAAGGACCATGAAACTCATATGTAACAAGTAAAAGTACCATTTTAAATACTACCTTTAACTAAATTTCCAACTGATTCTTTAATTAAAGCTAGTACTAAAAATTAAACTACCAATAACAGATTCATCTTTTTTCCCTCTTGCTCAAATTGCTAACTAACTAACACAATAGAAGTCGACAGATTAACTTCCACATTCCACAAACCTCCAGAAATTATACAGCTTTCTTGGTACAAGCCTGTGAGTCACTCTTTAAGGAAGATATTCTAACTCTATAAAGACTATTGATTTTCTCTGTACAGGGTATGGAAATCCTAAACAGAGGTTCCAAAACAGAAATTCAGTAGTAACCAGGTAAAGATCCCAGGCGGTACTTACTTCAAACAGTCCTTCCTGCAAACAAACTCAATTTCATTTTTCAACTCTCCATTAAGACTGGGAGAAGAAGTAAGATGTGGGTGGTTGGGTAGCTGTGAGGTGGTTAGATATCTTCCTTCCCAAAAGGAGTGAAAGCTTTTCTTCTCACTTGGTATTTTTCACTGAATCAAATTCAACTAATAATTCTTAAGCACTCTATCAGGTACTTTTACATTCATTCTCTCATTTAATTCTACAGAGAAGCCAAATTGACTGTCAGTAGGTTTTGTACTATGAATTTTAACAATCTAAAAAGTGTCAATGAAGGGTAATAAGACTGATGTAGACAAATAGAAAAAAACTCAGAAGTATAGAGTAAAATTTTAGACAGGAAAAGGACCTTAGGAATCATTGTTTTTCATGTTTTTATACCACTCATGAAACTTTGTGAAAGATTACCATTACACAGCTTCTGTATAAACTTCTGTGACTGAGGGCCTGCTATTTTTTCAGACAGCTGGTTTAATCTATTTTTGGACAACTATAGCTGTTAGAAAACAACTCCTTTGTATTGAAGCCAAAATAACTATCAGTCCAAGTTCTGTTCTTTGGGGCAACAGAGAATAAATTTGTTTATCCTTCTACTTGATTGACTTTTACCTGTTACTTTTTTCTGTTGTTTTTTTTTTTTTTTGAAGAGGGACCTGCAAACCTATGGATTGACTTTAAAATATCCTCTCTTCTAGGTTTCCCAGTTCTGTTGACCTAAAGAAAAAATCTGAGGCAAACTAAATATATAAGTAGAGAGTTTATTTGGGCCAAGTTTAAGGACTGCAACCTGGGGAGCACAGATTCAAGTTGCCCTGGATATGTGCTTCAATTAGCAGCAAGTACTAGTGAGTTTTTAAATGTAAAGAAGAGGCAGTTCCTAAGTTGTTTATCAAGGATTTGAAATAACATAAGCTTTTGAATGGTTATACATTGTTCTTTGCATCACAAATTCCAGGGACATGAAGATAACAGGTGAGGCTGCAAGTCAGGAACAAATGAATTTAGACAACCGTCCTCAGGCATGGGTAGAGGTAGGGGGCTGTGACTGAAAGTCCCATACTCATGTTCTCTGGGCCTGCATACCTCACATAGTTCAGACTGCTCTGAGCTATTTTTGTTTTCTCTATTCCCAAACCATTTATATTTCATTGCATCTATATTTATTTCTATTTCATATATAGGCATAACTATACCACAGAGTATGTAGTGTTATGTGAGTATTTGTCTACTTATTCTTTCCTTTCTTTCTTCCTAACCTCAACACTGCCATTCTACTTCAATGGAGAGATTCTTGAAGCCATGACCTATATCTTTGTATCTGTATAACCTAACATCATGTATAACAGGGGTTGTCCTGAATGTGCCTGGAAGCTCACTGTGAGTGGAGTTCAGGAACATCTCAT